GTGTGTGTACAACTTCAAAGCTTATTTCTGGCATAGACAGTGAGTGTGGTGGACCCTGATAGAAAAAGGGCCAGTTTGCCCTTTTTCTGCAATGTTTGGCTGACTTGTTTGTCCCAGCTGAACCACATCCATTTTAAGAAGGGCAGCCATGCTAGCAGTATGGTCATGAACAGGTTTTATTTCCTGCAAAGGTGGTTGTTTAATTGGTAGATACCAATTAATTGGCAGGTACCTGCATGAGGAATAGGGAAATAATCTATTTCGGAAGTCCTCAGACTGTTTCACAGCTGTTGGTGTGAGATCTCCAACTTGTGCTTGTTGTTTTTTCAGTGAGGCAGATCAGGCTGGTGAAAGGTCTTCAGCCCCTCGAAGTCTCTGAGAAAGGGACCATCACCTTTGTGGTGGAAGTGTCACATGAGGACGTGGAAGGGATCTGGCAGAAGGATGGCGTTCGGCTGAAGCCTTCACCGAATATCACTATTGGTGTCCTGGGGAAGAAACATTCACTGACTCTTTCTTCCGTGACTCTTGAAGATGCAGGACTCATCTCCTTCAAAGCAGATGGCATTCATTCATCAGCGAAGCTCACTGTGACAGGTACACAGACCCACAAGTCTCAGGCCCTGGTTGGTGTGGGACATGGTAGTCTTCTCCTGACCCAGCAACCCAGCTTTTAAGAGAGCAATAAGCTTTCTTTGTAACCGCAATGGATGTTAAGCACTGGACTATCATCATTAATATATCCTTCTAATGTCAACAGGATTGTGGTAACATCATTGTCCGCAGAGCAACTCATCATAACGTGCTCAAAACAATAGGACTTTGTTGTCACAATTTTGTTGTGCCAGATGGTCCTGGAGACCTAAATCCTCACTAACGGGATTTCCTCTTTTTTGCAGAATTGCCTGTGAGAATCAGCAAACCTTTGGTAGATGTCAGTGTGACTCAGAAGGACAAGGTCACCTTCGAGTGTGAGCTGTCCAGGCCCAACGTGGATGTTAAGTGGTTCAAGGTACAACATTTGATGGATAGTGGTATTTTAATTTCTGACTTCTCTGGAAAAGAATGAGAGCCTTTAATTTCACTTCCAGGGGATGTGAGTCTGAGCCTTTGCTGTACAGCATTTCATATTGCTCCCTTGTCCTTATGTGCTTTTACTTGCCCAATTCATCTCTCTTGGTGTTATTAATTTACTGCATTTATCAGATTGAAAGTTAAACTTCTCTTGAGTTTACAGTAAGCTCCTGAGCTGTTTTTGCACAGAATTTGAGCTCTGCTGTTGATAGCAGTGCAGTCTTATGCTTTACTTCATGCCTAGCAGTTCTCACCCAGGATTTTAAGCCTCATTGGGAACTGTGATTTAAGGTGAAGCCTCAATTCCCTTTCACCTGACAATCATTTTGGAGATCAGTTCAGGCATTTCATGAACCTTCCTTGAGGCTCAGCTGATATTTCCCTTAAATGGGGATAACAGCATTTCTTCAGGGTAATGTCTGAAGGGGTTTATTGGCAACCCGGTACAGTGCCTTAAGCCTTCAAATAGGTGTCTTAGGTCAACCAAAAGTTATGCATGTTCTTCAGCCATTCGTACTTCTGGAAAAATTTGCACTGTGCTAAATAAGCACAGCTCCATTAAGTCCAATGAGATAGGTGAATTAAACACAGATCTGAATGTTTGTTTTGCTTGGTGTAGATGTAGGAGAGTTGATGGTGATCTGGTTTGGTCTTTTTTTTTCTAGGATGGGAAGGAGCTCCGGCAAAGTAAAAAAGTGGGGATTATTTCCCAGGGAAATAAGAGAAGCCTCATTATTCACAAATGTGAATATGAAGACCAGGGAACCTATACATGTGAAGCAGCTGAAGACAAGACATCAGCTACCCTAAAGGTTCATGGTATGTTCGACTGAAGTAGGAAATTACATCTACTGCAGTATTTTTGACTACACAGCCAGAAATGCTTTGTGTGTTTTGCAATTGCTTATTTTGGGTAACTTTCTCTTCCCAGTGAGAAAGTGCTGGCAGAGCTGTCCTCTGCTTGCTTTATCCTTAGAGGAGTATTTTTGGAAGAGGTGCTAGCTTAGTTTTCCATTTATCATAAGTTATTTCTGTTCTCTGGAATTTGAATGGTGATTCTAGATTGGCAAGTTAGCAAATACTGGACAGCCTGGCACAAAGCAGAGATTCAATGGCTGGTGTGAGCATGGTTTGGTTTAGCTTCTGCCATTGCCACGGGGGGACTTTGGCTGAATAGGGACTGGACAAGCCCTGGGTATGATCTCAAGATGTGCCCTACTTTTTATGTTGTTAATGCTAAGGAAAGTGTCAGGATTTCTGACTGCATCTCTCCTTTATGCTCAAGACAGTTTTCTCCCTCCGTGTGTTGCACTGTGCAACTGGTCAAGCGCCAGATGTGTTTTGTCACCAGGCTCTGAAGTACCAGAGATAAGCTAGTGTTGAAGGCCAGTTACTGAACGGACAGGTCCGCTGTGCCGTGGCAGATGTTATTTTCCAGAGGGGTGTCTAAAAAGACAGATCAGCTCTTTCTTATTGCTTACTAGATGCTGTCCTCATGTGGCCATTTGTGTTCAGCAATATCTTCATGAACTTCTGTCCTATTCCATTGCTCTGTTGAACTCCCCCTTTTCTCCCTGACTTTGTGGTTGGGATGGGTTGCTATTTGAATGCTGGCTGGTTTGCATCTAAGCTCTAGTCCTGAGGCTGGTCCAAGGTAGATCGAGGCCTTCCCTTCCAAAAGGAAAGTGCTGCAGCAGCACAGAAATATGGGTCGATTCTGACATAAGTTAGTGCAAAGCTGCAGAGTTAAAGAGGATTATACTGAGTTCAGGGGACTGAAGCAAAGGTATCTCCTAGGTCAAACATGTGGCTGAGGTCCCTGTGGCTGATGCAGTCCAGACACACAAGCAGGGGAGTAAAAGGAAAGCATGCAGAGAAGCATGTGAACAAGACAGGTTTATAGTGACGCAAGAGATTGTAGGCTTGTGTCTAGTTTTCCTTGGCAGATTTTCTTTCATAAATATGTTTAACCTCTTTTAAAACCTGTATAATGTTCCAGCAGCCATAAAACCTGTAGGTTCAAGTTTAAACTGTATTTACTGTGTTGAAGAGCAAAACCACCAAGGAAGGGAGGCTGGTCTAGAATAAAACACAATCCCATTTTTTCCATGCAAGTGTGCAGAAGGTAAACACACCACACTCAGTTATGGAGAAACCCCAGATAAATACTTGTCTCTATGATTTCACAGCCCGAGATATCAAGATTGTTAAACCATTGGAAGATGTGGAAGTGAATGAATATGAGAGTGCATCTTTTGTCTGTGAGATTTCACATGACGAGGTCCAAACCCAATGGTACAAAAATGACAACAAGCTGAAGGCTGCCGACAATATTAGAATGCGTCAAGACGGTAGGATGAAGAAGGGGGATCGCATTCTTTAGTGGGGGTGGGTTGGAGTAGGTGCTGGTATGGGAGACCAGGCAGAAGGGTCTGACCTTCAAAATCAAGTTAAGAAGGTTTAACAGAGAGTTCCCCTCTTGTTTTGGGGCTGCAGCTAGTCTGGGACAGTAACATAGTGGGAACATTTAGTCAGGCAAATTTGGGGTCACCGCATCATCCCATGCTGCCAGCAGTGGGTAGGAATTTGTATCATCTGACAGCGGGTGGGATCCATCTGTTTCAAGTACGTTCCAGATGGTGGGGACCACATTCAGTCAGTCCTTGGAGGAGATGAGGTTAGGTTATCCTTTGATACAGGGACATAGACGTAGGGGAATGGTCGGCCTTGCTGCTGTGAGAGCAGGCAGTGATGCGCCTGAAACCAGATGAGCGATGCTCAACCTGGCAGCGTGCCTTGGGGAGCGAAGCTCTTTGCTCAGGGGAAGCTATGTCTGGCTGTGTCTCTGTTCTCAGGAAAGACCTATTCGCTGACTTACACACGCGTCCAAGTTGAAGATGCAGCAGAGATCAAATTTGTAGCAGAAAAGGCAGAATCTCGTGCCCATCTTACCGTAAAAGGTAATTATGCTTTTCATGCCAATACTGCTTAAGTGCGCTCATGTTACAAGCCAACCAACTTCCCTCACTTCTAATGTGAAGAAGGTTAAACAACACCTAAAGCTTTCAGGGAAAGAAAAACTCCTGCTTACCTTCCTGCATGTGAAATATCACCCTGGGAATTTACTTTTGCTAAATAACACAGTTTATCTTCTCAGGAGGTTGGTTTTGTACCTTATGACATTAAAAGTCATGTTTGAGGGACAAAAAGCTGTAGCTTGACTTTCTTCTGCATTTTCTCTTTCTGGTGTGTGTTTAAAAAGAATACAGCATTTTTTTTCTGTTTAACTTAAACAGTGTGACAGAGACAGAGAGAAGGAAGACATATGAATTAACACACTGGTGAGGAGCTCAGGAAACCTGAGATCGGTCCCTGGCTTTGCCATAGCACTGCTGTGTAGTGTTGCGTAAATTATCTATTATCTCTGCAGTTCAGCCATCCAAGTGGTAAAATAGGGATCAAAAGTTTTCCCTTCATTAGCTCTTCACTTGCTGTGTGCTAGTTGACTGCTTAGCATAGTGGGGATTCCTGTCATCGTCCAAATAACTGAACATAAAAGAAATATTGCTAATGAGTTTTTAATTGGCACTTTAAATGGAAACTATACTGATCATTCCATCTTTTTTTACTCCTTTTAGAGCTACCTGTAAAAATTGTGAAGCCTTTGCGAGATAAGATTGCTCTTGAAAAACATCGGGGATTCCTGGAGTGTCAGGTGTCTCGTGCCAATGCCAAAGTTAAATGGTATAAAAAGGATGTTGAAATTCACCCTAGTGACAAATATGAAATTGTGAGCGATGGTGTCTATCGGAAACTCATCATCAATGATGCAGATTATGAAGATGAGGACACGTACACTTGTGATGCCTTTGATGACAAAAGCAGTGCTAATTTCTTTGTTGAAGGTAGTAAACCATTTTTTCTTCCCCTCTAGGATGCGTTGGAAGGAGGACTGGCTGATTCAAAAAGCCCTGGTCATTTACTTTGAAAACAAAATACCACTTAAAAAGTATTTTAATTCACTGTTGGTTTATGCTGAAGTCCATTGATATTGAATCGTTTTAGGATTATAAGTGCAGGAACATCCTGTAAAAATGAATATATGATATATTCTCCTCAGCAAAGTGATGAAATTCCTGTTCCAGAGAAGTTTATCAGATATGCTGGAGAAAGTTTGTTGTTCAGAGAAAAGCTCCTGTAGCTAACCAAAATCTTTCCTATTATCAACATCTGCATTTCAGTGAACATTTTTTTTCCATTTTATAGTGCCAAGTGTTTGCTATCAGGATAGGAAAGTGGCTTTAGAAAAAAGGACCAGGAATCAGGAGAGCTGGATTCTCTTGGGGCCGTGTCACAGTCTCACTGTCTGACCTGTGACCATCAATATATGTTTTGGGTTTTTTTTTTTTTAAAAAAAAAGGATGTTTGAGGGCCTTTTAAGCCAACAAGTGCAGTACTCAAATGCAGAAAAGATGGCATGAGCATGCAGGATGATAATGGAAGAGTTCTTTCATGACTCCTAAATCTCTGCTTTCTCATTCCACCCTTCATCCAGAGCAATCCATTAGTATTGTAAAGGAGTTGTGTGATGAGGATGTGACTGAGCCTGAAGAAGCTACGTTTGAATGTGAGATATCCATTCCATCTGTGAAACCACCCAAATGGTCTCTACGTGGAGAAGTCTTACAGGCTGGCAGAAACTTTATCATACAGCAAGAAGGCACCATCCACCGACTGAAAATACTGAAAACCAGTGCTGATATGACAGGCACCATTCAGTTCTCCATTGGCAAATCAAAATCCACAGCAAACCTGCTTGTCAGAGGTAATGTGATTATGTCCTGGCTTGAATTAGATCATGAGAGATCCTTCCTCTCGCAGTCGCTGGAAAGTACTTTTTCATATGTACTGCCTAATGTGCAGGCTCCACTGGCTGGAGTCTTGGAAACGTATGGAAGGTCTGCTTAGTTCCCAATTACAAGTTGTTGGGTGAAATGCTGGATGCAAGAAATAAGACAGTGATGTCTTAGGAAAGGATCTGATTAAATAAGTTGGTGTGCCTGGTATTCAAACCTCGTATTCAATTCTATTGAGCTCAGACTGGGTTTTGGCTTTTTTTTTTTTTTCTCTTCTCTCGTCTCTTCTCCTTCTCTTCTCCTTCTCTTCTCCTTCTCTTCTCCTTCTCTTCTCCTTCTCTTCTCTTCTCCTTTTTCTTGACTTTACCAAAGAAGATAAAACAGATGAAATTTGCCAAGAGAGTTTGTCCCATTTCTGAAATAAACAAGTTTGATAGCTCATTTATTTAATCCCCTTTGTCATTGACTTGATCGGGGACAAAGCTTCAAGGCTTTTTATCTTCCCCTGTCACCATTGTAAATATCTCAAATCATATGCTGAAGTCCTTGTTTTGTCTTTAATTTGCTCTTACTTCAATAAAAACCTCAGAGAGCAATTCAGTGAACCAGAACTGGGCCATGAATTTGGTAGTTAATATACAGTATTATCTTATAGAAGCCAGCATTCCCTATAGATCATCGTGCCATTTTAGCTTCAAAGCATATCAGCTCCGTAACAGAAACTTGCAGCACCATCTGAGCAGTTCACAAAACAGTTGTGAACAACATATGTGAAATTAATTAGCATGAAATACAGATTAGAAACTTTCTCCTTCTTCAGCTTGATCCCTTCTTCTTTCCCAACACCGCTTTGCAGATTACCACATACAGATCACCAGGAAGATGGAGGACAAGACAGCTCTGGAGCGCCATTCGGTCATCCTGTCCTGCGACTTCAGGCCTTCTCCAAAGGTTGTGAAGTGGTTCAAGGACCACACACCCATTGAGCCCTCTGAGAAGTACAAAATCAAGAGGGAGCAGCATTCGGCAGAGCTCAGGATTTTGAAGGTGAAGCCTGAAGATGCTGGCGTGTACAAGTGCAGGGCTGGAAATGCTGAGACCGAAGCCACGCTGACCGTTGAAGGTATGAGCGGTTTGCGGCAGCGGGGGGATTACCTGTTGCATAGATATAAGGAAGAAATTTTTTACGATGAGGGTGTTGAAACACTGGCACAGGCTGCCCAGAGATGTGCTAGATGCCCCATTGCTGGAAACATTCAAGGTCAGGTTGGACGGGGCACTGAGCAACCTGGTGTAGTTGAAGATGTCCCTGCTCACTGCAGGGGGGTTGGACTAGATGACTTTTAAGGGTCCCTTCCAACCCAAACCATTCTATGATTCTCCAATTCTATATCTTTATGGTTCAGTATTTCACTCTGGACTTCTCTTCTTAAGTGGAGGTAGATTCCCACAGTTCTCTCCTGTTAATTTTATATAAATGCAATATCTTAAGTGAACTGACAGTATTATGCACTGTGCTGATATCCCATGACACTGAAATCCAGCACTTACCATGAAGCAGGTAATGCATGTGGAAGGGCACCATCTGGGTAAGGCAGAAATTCATGCATCTTTCTCAAGGCACATCATTGTCCATTTCAGCCAAGGAACTAGAACTCTTTGATACTTCTTGCTAAAAATGTCCTTTATGTCAAAGTGCTACAGGCCTCTGATTCTGGTGATCTTTGTTGTGATTTTCATTTCCTGACCACTGTGTCAGCTTTTATAACTGCTATACGTTCGTTATTCATAATGATGTTCTACCTCATCCTGGTATGGCACTGTTTTTAGCCAGTTCTTCACCTCTGGTGAAACTGTAAGAAAAGATGATCCCTGTGTCGCTTTCAGCAAGACTTGGAGGTGAGCCACGGAATCATTTACAGAAGTCCAGGGAGCAGCTCTTGGTAACAGTTTGGCCTTGAAGAGGTTCATCCAAATGACAAAATTATTTAATACTCCCAAACGCCTCTTCTGAGTTAGCTAGTCCTTGAGAAACAGCATGTCACGGGTGGGGAAGCTGCAAAGAGAAACTTCTGGCCAAGGACTGGGAAAGCAAATTAAATTCCTGTTGCTCCCTAAACCTGAGCAAGTTGCTTAATCTCGTCATACTTGCTGTTTGTGACCAAACCCATTCTCTTAATCTCATGCTCTGTGTTTCCCTGGCAGTGAGTCAGGGATAACTTAGTTATAATGTGTTTGTGTGTGCACAGTGATGAGCTCACAGGGACTGGAGCTCTGTGGGGTATTTAGGTATGACGGTAATGCCATTACCATTTTAGAAAGACTTACTTATTTTTAAATTAAAAAGAAGAAAAAGCAAAACAGTTTTATGTTTTAAAAGAGAATTGAGGGGTCTGGACAAGATAGTCTTTTTAATGGATTTTTTTTTTGTTGGACCAAATGCAGAACCAAGTAAATGAAATGTAATGATCCGTGGTGCACAGGAGACCAGACTAAAACATCTAATGAACTCTAAATGTTATGAAATCTATTTGTGGTAACAGTACTGATTTATGGTGACAGTGGTGATTGTGCACCTTGGTTTCCTACAGCCCGCAATGTAGAAGTACTCAAACACCTGCAGGACGTGGAAATTGAAGAAGAGAGTTCCGCTGTCTTCTCCTGTGAGCTGTCCCACGACGACGAGGATGTGGAATGGTTCCTCAATGGCACCCTCCTTTACACCAACAATTTCAATGACATCAGGAATGTTGGCAACTGCTACATGCTGACGATGAAGCAGGTCAAGCCTGAGGATGCTGGCACAGTGACAATGAAGTCAGACAAGGTGTCAGAGACCGTGCGTCTGAAGGTGATAGGTGGGTTGTGATCACACTCCTCCCAGATGTACATATGAGATGCAAAAGAGCTTATTTACTGTACCCATGCAGCAACCCTGCTCATAAGCTTCACCTTTCTGGCACCGAGTAATAGGCACGCAGGGGGTTTCTTCCAGTGTGAGTTTCTACTGTAGCTGATGATTTTTCTAAGGAAGATTGTTTTGATGTCCTGCCAAAACTTTCCATAGCTCTCTACAATGTTTTTACTGATCAGCATAGTCTCAAGAGCAATCTCCTTTACTTGTAGATCTCTTCAGTAGTATATATTCTATAAATTGTTGTTTCTAAAGATTTTTGGCTACAAGGAGGTGAGCTTCAGTGTCTTTCCAAGGGTAGGGCACACCTTTAGTATATCCGTTCTGGAGTCAGACTGAATCAGCAAAGAGAAGACAGTTTGTTGCTGGCCTTCATATGTCTTATATGTGTCACCAAACTTTGAGTTGCTGTGGTTTAACATGTTCTTGTGCATCAGCTAAGCCGCAGTAAGTTGCGTGAATTATTTTAGGCATATTAGAAACATGAAGTAAAACCCTTACCATAGTTTCAAAATCATGTTTTCTTTAGCAACACACCCATACATGCATGCTCAGGTAAATCATGTTGATTTGTTACCCTAAATTAACAACTTCTTGTATCTGGAAACACGAGTGCAAAATGTTCTGAACCGTTCTCTGAAAATTAGAATCTGATGTCCTCCACACCCTCCTAGAGAATAATCTCTCTGATTTCCTTTGCATTTTGTGTCCTGATCATGACTAATTTGTTCTTCCCAGAGTATCTCAGTAATTTAACTCTTACTCTATCCACTCAGAGAGTCTGAAGGATTTCCTCTTCCTTTCTTTCTTTTCTTCTGGTTAAAAATTTCCCCCAAATAGATGTCCTCCGTGTCAAATATATTTTAAATTAGATAAAGGGAATCAATAAAACAAAGAGGCAAGAGAAGAAATGTTCAGGAGAGTGAGAAGAATGTGCAGCTTATCCTGTTCTTGCTGCTCCTACCGCATGAATCCTACGTGGTGAAAAGGCAGTGCCAGCTGTCTGGCTTTAGAAGACCTACATCCCAATTACTTCTCTTCACACATTTTTCTTCTTACCACCTGACCCCTTTCCACTTGTAGACTGTTGCAATGAGAAAGGACATTCCTAGAGAATGTTTTCTGCTTCTCTAGGATACAGAAAAGGGCTTCCTTAAACCTAGTCTATCTTGTTGAGTGGCTATTCCACAAAAGCGTGAAGCTGTCCCTCTGGCCTTCACTGAGGCCCTACATGTCTGCTCCAAGCCCCATTCCCTGTGATGGGATGTCCTGTGGCTGATAGATGCCCCAACGCAGAGAGAGAAAAGGAGCCCTTGGAATCTCACAGGTGTGCAGTCATAAGAGAGACCACAATTACAGCACTGAATATCACTCCCCATGCATGGCAATGCAGGCTGTCTCTCTCCTTCCATGCATCCTCCCAATAATAAATTCTGATTTCCCTAAAGCTCCTTCCAATCATGAGGTGTGAGACTGCTTTAAGTTCTGCATTGGTATCATCAGCATTGCCAAGGGTTTACTTAAGCTCTCTTTAAATATTTGTTAGTAATTGAAAATGTCTCAACCTAAATATCCTGGATTATCTCTGTTTTGCCTGTTAACCTTCAGAGAAGCCTGCTGTCTTCATGAAGTCCTTGGACGATGTTTTTGGTGAGGAGCGAGGTATGATTAAATTGGAATGTGAAGTCTCCAAAGAGAAGGTCAAACCTGTTTGGAAAAAGGATGGTGTGAAACTCACTTCTGGTAACAAGTATGAGCAGATACAGTCTGGGAAGACCCTGTGCCTCCTTATCCATGACCTTGAAAAGACAGATGCAGGTTTATACACATGTGATATTGGCACTGATGTTGCCAAGTCAAAGGTCAGCGTTCGGGGTAAGTATTGTAGACGATCGCCAGTCAAGGGGTGCTGCAAATACGGGTGGGCATGGTCACTTTCTCTCACACCTATTCCTCCATGAGCCTCACATAACATGGTGATGTCTGAATAATCCCTGTTACTCTTCGGTGTAAATATACCTGATGTTTCAGTGAAAATCAAGTGTCAAGAGTGTAGTGAGTGACAATGTTTCCTTCCTGAACATTCCTAAGGTGCAGAAATCCTCCCAGAAGAGCAAAAAATTTCTCAAAAAAAGCCCCCCAAAACCAACCCCACAACCAAAACCAAACCAAACCAAAAAAAAAAAAAAAAAACCCAAACAAAAGAAACCAAGTAGCTTGTGTTTTACAGTTTTGAGCTATTAATTCAGAGTTCATTGTGGTAACACAAAGGTAGTACAGCGTTGTCTATTGAAGAAACCAGCAGCTGAGCTTGCCTTCTAATCTTTGTGGCTGCTTGACGGGAAGAGAAGTGTTCATGGCTTTCAAACTCACATTGATAAAAAGACAAAGTTTGAATTTGTCTGATTTGAATGCCAGGAGAGGTAGGATGGTAACAAATTAACAAACATCTCACTTATACTGTCATAGAGAAAAACCTCGCACAAGGTTTTGGTCTGACAGCTTTTGTCCCCTCTAGCTCGAATCTTGACTCTTCTCCACTGAATGATCTGTTCTCCATGCAGTCCCTCCAGACCAAAGTCAGGAAATTCACATGTCCCTTTTTCTATAGCGTTGCAGAGATTCTGAGTGGATAATGTCTGAGAAATCCTTCCCATTGCAAATACATCTGTAAGAAATGCAGTGCTGTCTTGCCAATCCAGTAGACAAACCAATCTGATGAGCTAAAAATGTCAATACTACTACTCATGTCAGTCACAAAAGCCTTTTCTCCTTGTATTAACTTAGTTTTTGTCTTCTAGAACTGAACATTGGCATCACCAAACGACTGAAGAACACTGAAATCCAGGAGGGAGAAAATTGCACTTTTGAGTGTATTTTGTCCCATGAAAGCATTGATGACTTCAACTGGACACTGAACGGGAACAAAGTGGAAAGTGGTGGGCGATTTAAAGCCTCTAACATGGGTCGGAAATATACACTTAATATCAAAAAAGTGATTCCTGATGATGCTGGGGAAGTGATTTTCACTGCCCGTGGTCTAACCTCCAAGGCTTCTCTGGTTGTAAAAGGTAATGAGTTCAGAAAGGTTCTGGGGTTTGATTTCTTGGGTGTCTTTTCATAAGGTATGTCAGTAAACCACAAAGGCAAACTCTTGTAATGATCAAATTGAATAGCAGCCTTCTCTATGAGCCTTGAAGCACTGAGAGTCTTCCTTAAAAACAAGTGAAAGGCTGCAACTTTTTATAGGTATTTGAGAATTGCAGAATACACTCGGTAGTATAATTGTACTGACGATTACTACCCAGACTGTGTGCATCAGAGATAATCACCCAAGTAGTGATCACCCATCAGAGATAATCACTGGGTAGTCAGTGGAGAGAAGAAATAGGTGGCTTTCAGACATAGTCCATCATCCGCAGTTAGACCTATGTAGGACAAAATAAATTATTCCTTGAAGTCTATTGCCTGCACTTAGCAGATCACTGCTGGCTGTAGAGCAGCCCTAGAGCTAGTGTCTCTGCTACGTATCTCTACAGCGTAGATGTCTGGTTTTACTGAGACAGATCCCACTATAACTGCGCGCCTACTGTAACTTCAGTCACAACAAAATGACATCCCCCGAAATGGGTGTCGTCAGGACAAGTCCTCAGTTCCTGTAAGCAATCATTAATATTCACTGAGAGCCCATAACTGCAATTAATATATACTAAAGAGCAAGACTGCCTTTTCCCTCCCTTCCCTAACATAATACGGATCATTCATTGGGGAATGTGAAAACTTGCTGGACATTTGAATTGCAAACCCCCACACACACTATATAGTGATCACGATCATGACTTTTATTCAAAGTTCCTTTTTTTTTTTTTTTTTTATTTCCCCCCTCCTCTTCAGAAAAACCTACTGAGATTACAAAACAGCTGGAGGATAAAACATCAGCAGTGGGACAGGACATCAGCCTGAGCTGTGAATTGTCAAAACCTGATGTGAACATCAGGTGGTACAAGGATGGCAAAGCAATCCGAAAAAGCCAGAAATATGACTTGCACCAAGAGGGAACACGGGCCATTCTGATCATCCATGACTCCACGGTCAAGGACAGTGGGGAGTACACCTGTGAGACTGAGTTCTCTAAAACAAAAGCCAGGATCACAGTGCAAGGTCAGTTGAAGCATGCATAGGGCCTGGCATGTGCAGAAGTTAGGGTAAATAACCACAACGTGTGGGAGATGTTCTTCTCTTCTATCTCCCTAAACAGGATCAATTCCTAGTTTTCAAAAAATGTCATGGATTAAAAACTTTAAAAAAAACCTCTGAAAAAGCACCTTATAGGTACTGAAGAATCTTATGTGTTATGTAATGAGCTAATCAAAATTGGAAATTTGAATTAGACTTTTTTGAATATGGGTGATCAAAACTGTACACAGTCTGCAAGATGACACCTCAGCAGTACCCATGCAATGGTATTAAACTTTCCTGGAAATATTTTACCTGATACATCCTGCAACAGGAGGTGGACCTGGTGATCTTCTTGGATCCATTCCATCTAATAGGATGAGAGGAAATGGCCTTAAGTTGTGCCAGAGGAATTTTAGATTGGATATTAGGAAAAATTTCTTCACCAAAAGGGTTGTCAAGCACTGGAACAGGCTGCCCAGGGAAGTGACTGAGTCCCCATCCCTGGAGGTATTTAAAAGACGTGTAGATGTGGTGCTTAGGGACATGGTTGAGTGGTGGACTTGGCAGTGCTAGGTTAATGGCTGGACTTGATGATCTTAGGGGTCTCTTCCAACCTAAAGATTCTATGTTTCCATATTCTGTGATTCTACAAGTTGGGGCAGAGGGGATTCAAGACCACTCTGTATGCTTAGGACTTGTTTGGGTAACAAATCTGTCTCTGTCTCTCTTTTTTTGTTTGTTTGGGTTTTTTTTTGTTTTGTTTTCTTCCAGAAAAACCTAATTATTTTGTCAAAGAACTTTCAGATCTGAAAGTGGATGAAAGTGGAACTGCAGTTTTTATGTGCCAGAGTGAGAAAGCTGCATCCTCTGTGGTCTGGAGGAAAGGCATAGCTGAACTCAGGTCTAGCAAGAAATATGAGATCACACAGAAAGGACAAGTCCTGCAGCTGGCCATAAATAACTTGGAGAAAAGTGACAGTGACACTTACACCTGTGACATTGGTGATGCCCAGTCCAGAGCCAAGCTAGTTGTGCAAGGTATGTGTGAGAGGAATATGATTGTACATCCTGTTTCTCCACCGGGAAACATTATATGCATAGGCAGATCTATTTCTTGGCATACAGGTAGCAGATCTACTGATTTCTGGCTCTGAGTCACGATGTCTATACACTGCACAGGACATGTGGACAAAAATATAACGACATGGAGCTGGGCATGCAGAGTAATTTGTCAATTTGAAGCAATAACACCTGGAATATTTTGGGTATTATTCAAAACCCAAAACGCTGATGTGAGGAGAGGCTGGTGTTCCTGTGTGAACATATGATGGATATGATTCAGAGTGCCTGCTATTAGATGGGGGAAAAATTATTCTGCCTCCAGGCTTTTCTCCATATCCCTTGATGCCTCTTTCCAGTAGTGGTTTCTAAGAGGGGATGGGTGAATGAGTGGTCCAGGGATCTTTAAGTGCTTAATGTCCCTCTGCGCCTTAGACATGAGTTACACCCTCCAGCTGAAGACTACAACCCAAGCAGCTTTTGTTTGATGCTACAGGCAGTAAAAAAGCTGTGGTGGCCAAAGCTAACAGCAGAGCAGTGTTTCGGGGAAGGAGTGAGGTCTGGTTGTTATTGCTCCTCACAGTTCCCTCGTTGGAGCACCAACTGGGAGAACCTCTTCAGCTGAAATAGATGAAACGATGAAGAGCAGAAACAATTAAAGAATAATCGCATAGAGATGCGGTGGTGGTGTCCACTTACTTATTAATTATTATAGCTAGCTATTAAAGACTAAGGGGGTTAAAGCCAGACTCCTCCACTTCTGATCATCTGCTAGAACAGCCTTGAGAAGCAAAGTATGCTTAATCCCATTCGTGGCCTCAGGATCTGAGCTGCCTGAATTCGCTGTGAGGTCTCTAACACCAACTTTTCTGAGTGAAAAAAAATACTTCTGTATCACAAAACTCAAGGTAAAAGTAAAAATTCCCTGTACTGCTTTTGTAAGTAGGAGCAACATCAGATATATCTTTGTATACAGCTATAACCTTATTTTATTTATTTATTTATAGTTAGGTGTATCTATCCATATCTACACAGGCAGGTTTTCAGGATTGTTGCTTTGTTTCTTTTTACTGAAGCTGCAGTCAGACACCCTCTCCACTTCCCACTGTGTTTATGGTTGGACTAAGCTCAAAGAAGGTGGGGCTGGGTGGTCCTATCCCACAGAAAGCAACTTGTATTTGCTCTAGAAAAACAGAGGGGTTGTCATGGGAGGGATTGTCTGCTTAGTGATGTCTAGAGCCCAGTGATGCTGTCAGAGATGCATCCTTTCAGCCTTTCCAGGTACTTTCATTAAGAGAAACTTTCTAACACTGGATTTGCATTGTACTGGCTACTTGTTCTGCTATATGTGTTCTGGTGCTTTGAAGTTGTCTTCATCCTATTTTGGTGTGTGTCCTGTATATACTGTCTTCCTGTGAATGGTTTTTGTGTTCAATCACAGGGGAATTGTGTTTCAGTTTTCTGTATCATGAACATATTTATTTATTGAAATACTCACATGGGAAATCTTGGAGTTTTCCATATCGATTTTCATGCTAGAAACAGAAGATTCCAGTAATTGATGTATCTATGTTCCTTTCAGGCCAGAAAGTGCTAATAACAGAAGACCTGGAAGATGTCACTGTGTTAGAAGGAGAATCTGCCACGTTCAAATGCAGAATCTCTCCTGTAGACTATAGCAAAGTGCAGTGGTTTTTGGATAAAACCCCACTCCATACCAATGAACTTAATGAGATCCAGTCTCAGCCTGGTGGATATCACTTGCTAACGGTGAAAAAACTCTCACTGAAGGACTCGGGGGTCATTACATTTGAAGCTGGTGATAAGAAAACCTCTGCCAGTTTGGTTGTTAAAGGTAATTCAATCATAAAAACTGCAGGAGATGAAAGAATGTGTAGAAATAACTATGGGTTAATGTGGGTAGGTGGAAAAAAAAGAGAAAAAATGCTACAAATTTGGCCCCATCATGTGTATATCTGTATATGTTCAATAATAGCATTTCCTATATAATGAAGCTAGGGCCGGGGAATTAACACTTCGTAATCCTGGACAACTCTCATTGCGTTTATTGGACCTTAGATGGGAATGTTATACTGTAGTGATGGCACTTTGGGTGCCTTGTCCAGTTTTCCTTGAGCCGAGCTGATAAGGTGATGATACATGAGGAGAAATCAATTAGTTCAAGGGGGAAATAAAAAAGTGCAAGCAATAAGTTTTTAATTTAGTTTTCATTGTTTGAAAGGCAACATTATGTGTGTTCTCTGCTATTGTTTTCTCTGGAAAAGTCAAACTGCATTAAAACTGCAGTGTCAGTCTACTTCTATAGCAAGGGAGTAAAATGAATGCCAGACAGCCCAAGGGTGCAGGATTAGAGAGGTGTTATCTTACTGGAAACATAACTATTTCTCCTTGCCCAGAGAGGTAAAACACACAGTCTCCACTGTGCCAGATAATATTCTCATTCTTTTCAGAATCACCACGTTTCTTGCAAAGAACTTTCTTTTTTTTTTCAAAATTTGAAAATTTGCCCAAATTTTCTCATGCTACAGAAATGCAAACAGATTTTTCTGAAGTCAAATTAAACGCCTGATTTGCAAAAGTCTGATTCCTTCTGGTAACATTAATACACGATGCTATAGTACCAAAACCAGGTTTTGGTCTCCTGATTGATTGGATTTTTATGGATTAAAAAGCATGAAGCTATGAGGGATAAGATGTACCTTGGACACTTTAGCTATTGATATCTAGCTTAGGCTACTTCTATCAGCTGTGTAGAAAAACAAGCACTTCCAGAGAGCAGTTCATCTTCTCTGTCCTAATGACCTGTCTTGGAAGTGAATAGCTGGTCTCTGGAGGTGTCTGTCATCTTCCAGCAGTTATAGACACCCTACATGACCTGTCTGAGCTATCTTGCCTGGTTTTTAGATGACTCGTACCACTGAGATGAGACCTACTCTAGATGACTGGCTTTGGGAAACCCATATTGCACCTCACTTCATGCAGAATTATTTTTTTCCACATTCAGTTAGGAGGTTCAAACTAATCAGCTCACAAGTGAAAGGGCTTAGGAAAATTGTGTCTCCATCTTGTTCATATTTAGCAAGATGCAAGAGAGGTCTTATTTATGTTCTTCAACAGGCATATTTTCTTCTCAGTCTCTCCCAGACGGCGTTAGGTATTTGCTAAACAAGATTTTATGGCATGACTGGTGCCTTCCTGAGGGCTTTATAGTCATGAACATCAAATTATTTGTTACTAACCTTGACCTGTAATTTTGATACAAGTAATCTTGGATATAAATCTCACAGATTACTTGTGATCTGAAAATCCGCACCTCTTCTGAAACATCTCAGATGGTTTTTATGTGATTCTAGAGAAGCCCTGCATCTTCACAAAGGAGCTGGTTGATACTGAAGTCACTGAGGGAGAGGATGTGGTCCTTCACTGTGAAACCTCCAAATCAGACAGCCCTGTAAAGTGGTGCAAAGACGGGAAGAGCCTTAGGAATTCTTCCAAGTATAACATCAGCCGGTCGGGATTTGAAGCCAAGCTTGTCATTCACAGGGCAGAAGAAAGAGACAGTGGCAGATATGAGTGTGAGGCTGGAGCAGCTAAAAGTAGTGCGGTTATTACTGTCAAGGGTAAGAACATTTGGAGTGATGGTTTGGGTCCTAACTTGTCACCTAACACCAAGGTCAGAGTAATAAATTGAAATGATAAAAACATGAAACTGTACTGAAAAGGAACCTCATGTCTTTGCATCACCATGCAGGAGAGGTTCTCATCAAGTCATCTGGGACAGCTCCCAGAGAGGTGACAGAATGTGAAACAGGAAAATCCTTCATCTTACCTGATTTTAGCTCTGTGAAAGTTAAGTGGCCAAGCTCTGTGGAGCAGAGAGCAATGGGTCAGTAGAGAACAGTGGGCATCTCTTTAGGAGATCCACCCAGCCTAAGAGGTAATCCAGAAAAAGGATGAATCACCTTCTGAAGCTGCCTCCACTGGTGGCCCTCTCCAAGGAGGGAGCTCATACACCCGCATTTGTCTGGGTAATTGCTTTAGGCAGCCAAATTTATTGAGACTAGTGCATCCAAAGTTTTTATCCCAAAGATCATGATCAGGCGCTATCTGAAGTGCTGTGGTCTGAGCTGGAGCAAAAGTTCTCTTCTTAGACACATGAGACTTTAATGTACTTCCTTGAGCATATTGGGTAAGCACCACAAATGCTAGGTAAGCGTTGGGTCTGAGCCGTGTCAGAACCAGGCTCACCTGCCACCCATGTTATAATTGCTCCAGCCTGAGGTTGAGTCACTGCTCCAGCCTGAGGTTGAGGAGGAGCTTGGTTCTTGTGGGCAAAATTGCTCATTTGCCTGGACAGGTTTGAGCAGATACAGGGAGGCTGTTAATGGCACAGGCTGGGTTTAGCCTGACCAGTGGATATCCTGCATGCAGCTCTTCTTTACATGGTCTGGGGGGGCTGATTGGAAGCTGCACCCAGATTAGAGAAGTCATTGTGAAGAAAAAGCTTTTGGGTTGTTGGAATAGTCAACCTGAACTTCAGAGCATGACGAGGGAAGGCAAGATGCTCACAGTATTTATCTAGAGCACAAAAAACCAAGCCAGCTTAAGGCTGAGATCTGCTGTGCAAGGAAAGAGGCGGCCTTGACGATGTAACGAAGAAGAGAGGTGATGGTTAATGGTCCAGATTTGCTATGTCTTTCATTAGTACTAGGATGCTTTCCCAATACCTGTTACTCAAAAAAGAAAGATCTATATTGACTTTAGTAGGGCCTGGATCTCACCCATAATGGAGAGCAATTTTTCTGTTAGAAAAAAAGACACTCGTAATGAGTGTTAAACAACAGCTCCATTTTTCCCTTCACGGAGAAGGTGTGGATAGATGCAGGATTTAATCACACGGATTCAGATCACCAGTAGATGTGAAGAAGTCAAGTCATAAGGATGCCTACAACAAACTGCACTGTTGTAGCTTTCCTTTAGCTATTAGGGTCACATCAGAACAGCAGAATGCAAAAATGGGGGGGAGTCAGTAGCCGTGTTACACTGAGTGTCCCAAACTAGAGGTAAAAGGGGAATAGAAGAATAGGCTGTAGTTTTTCAACAGCCACAGAACAACTGCATCACATATCTGTAGCTGACTTGCATATTCATATGACAGCAGAAGCCAAAAAGAAATTGGTTTTTTTTTCATGATCTTAAGGGAAAACACTTGAGCTGAGGGTGGGTTTTTTTCCCAATAAGTGCCTTCTCTACATGAGCTCCCCTTAAAGCCTTGAACCCCAGGCTGTGATAGAGCCTGCATAGGAATCTCCACAGGGACCCTTTCGTATACAGCTGTGCTTTCCTCTCTGTGTATGCTCTGTGCTGGTTTAAAGTCTGTATTCATGTCTGATAAAAATATGTTGTGGGGTTTTTTTAAAATGAGGAATCAATACTGCGTGTAATGACAGAAAGTGCTTTGCCATTTCTTTGTGTCCTCTGTGTCATGTGCGAGTTGACCTCAGTAAAGTTGTACATTTTTTTGTGCCAGTCATCCAGCTCTGATCACCCATCTGCAACACTAAACCACACGGTTTGTGTCATTAATAGCGGGACAGCATCTGCCACTAATGTTAATAATGACAACCGTAATAGTCGTGATGTCTTCAGTAGTATGGAGAGTGGTTAAAAGGAAAAAAAGTATACCGTCTCGAATATTTTTTGCTGCTGTAGAGTGCTGGCAGCCAGATGTGAGCTGTAAGAATCTGTTTACTGTTTGCTAGTGTTTTTCCGTTCCTGTGGTTTTCTATCTGAATAGCAAAGTCTGAAACAAAAAGGAAAAAGTGATTTCCAGTCTCGTGTATTTCCTTAAACAACTGCAATGTTCTTTTTCAGAAATACCAGTTCTTTTCAAGCAAGTGCTCCAAAATGAAGAAGCTAAAGAAGGGAAACAAGTCAAGCTGACCTGTGAGCTCAGCAAACCTGATACCCCGGTGACATGGATGAAAGGAGGCACTGTTCTCTACGCCAGTGAGAAGTATGAATTTAAGCAGTGTGGTACGGTGGCAGAGCTCATTATTCGAGACGTCAAATCGATAGACTCTGGGGAATACACCTGCAGCACTGGGGAACTGAAGACCACTGCTCAGGTGAAAGTAAACGGTAGGCAGTGTTAGATAAGTTGCCACGCTTTCTTAATGCATTGCTTAATAGATCTTTTATTAAAAAAAAAACAAAACAAAACCAAAACCCAACACAGGACTTTGTGGCAGTGCCATCTACGAACTCATGCGTAAAATATAATGGTAATATTGCATACTTATAAGCACCTGTATATCTTTCATTCATATAATCTCATGTTATGCATCTGGGATTTTAAATCTGTAACTTCCCACTGAACAGAAAACAATTAAGTGCAAAGGGCTCACTTTCTATACCCTACGTGCCATAGTTCCTGACCTATCGGCTTTTTTACATGGCTGTGACTAAGATTGGAGTTAGAGTTGGAGAGCAGGAGCATGGGAGCACAAGAAAAACATGAAAAGATAAGTCAAGTCCAGACCCTGATTAATGTTTAGACCTCCAAACTCCCCAAAGCATCCTTTTTTAAAGGCTCTCAGATGCCGTCTGCACTCTCCAATATCATTAAACAAATACAGTACCTTCAGCAGTATAGCAAAAGTGTCATGTGCTGGAGCAGAAAGCAGGAGAGAGATAGGGCATGAGTACTGTCACAGAGCCCTGCAGCAGCAGGGAATTTGTTAGGTGAGGATGCTCAGAGGACTCTGAAGGGGTCCTTATTAAAAATGAGAGAAACTTCCCCCATACTCCTAGGAATCCCCAGTGAGATGACAACATTGTAGGGAGAGATTTCTTCCTGCTCCAAAGCAGAATCACTTTGATGTCACGTAGCCAAAGCAGGGTCTAGGGTGGCTCTTCTCGTTTGGAAAAGGACTAGTTTTAAGGGGTGACAGCCACCATGGGGCACTTGTTGTACAGCAGGTCAAGAGGGCACATCCTAATTGCTGGTTCTGTGTTCTAGCTGTGCCTGTCCTTTTTAAACAAGCCCTGGAGAACATGGAAGTGGAAGAGGGGAAACCTGTCTCCTTGCGCTGCGAACTCACAAAAGCTGATGCCACCGTGGTGTGGAAGAAGGGAGAAGCCACACTCCAGGCAAGTGCCAAATATGAAATGAAGCAGAAGGGGACAGTGGCAGAGCTGGTGATTCATAATGCAGAGACAGAAGATGCGGGAAGATACACCTGTGACGCTGGAGACCAGCAGACCACAGCCCAAGTCAAAATCCATGGTAGGAATAAGACACCTGCTTGTGACCATTTCTTGTTGTTCTTGCTACGGTCCTGCTAGCTCCTGCGCGTTTATGGTGAGCATTAAGATAAAAAGGGATCAGGACAAACAAAAGGCAGCTCTGGCTGGGTCCGTTATGTTCTCTATTTTCTAGGACAATAACCTCATGCTAAAACATAGCAATCAAATATCCTTGATAACAAGATATCTTTCCTTGCCTCTGAAATAACTGTTCTGCTTTCTGCTCTGGAGAGAGGCGCTTGTCTGAGCTCTGAGCCAGGAGGTAAGATGGGCCTCAGCTACGCGTTTTGTTAAAGAATACGCAAATCTTTTCTGCACTTTCTCAGCAAGTTTTTCATGTGTCTGTGACCAACAGCATTTGGGCAGCAGAAGGGTAATTACTTTGATATTCTAATTATTGGGAAATAATTGTTTTGGGTTTATTTCCTCCCAAACCCATGGTGTGCTATTGTAAAGTCAAGTAGAGTCCTGGACATGCAGGTAGGTCAGAGCTTATGAGCTGTGCCAAGAGAATTTGTTTTGGCTTTATGTCCTGTATGAGGTCACCGGTTGGTAAAGATGCTCCTAAAGTAAAATGAGAACACTTCATTCCTCAGCCACCTCTGTGCTCATCAAAGAAGAGCTGAAGAGAGTGGAAGCTGTGGAAGGTGGGACCGCCACCCTGCGATGCCAGCTGAGCAGAGAGGCCCCTGTGGAGTGGAGGAAGGGGCACACTCTTCTGCGGCCGAGTAACAAGTACAGGATGAGACAGGAGGGCACGGTGGCCGAGCTGCTGATCCATGATCTGGACACAAAGGATGCTGGAGACTATACATGTGCAGTGGGGAACCAAAAAACCACAGCGGCCTTGTCAGTGAATGGTAAAAAGTCAGAAATAACCCGTAAAACTCTGGAACGTTTTTGTCCATCTCTTCCCTCCTCCTCTCTGTACATTCCATCACAACATCTACCTTCATGTCCTGCTTCTACTTTTTTCATCCTTCCACTTTTTCATGTTGCCATGTCACTCCTTTCCCTAATCTCCATCCATGATCAGCTTTCATTATGTCCAATGTTGGATGTGTGTGTGTGTTGTGTTGTCTTCTTACCTTTCCTCAAGTGAAGGGTGCTGACGTGTACTTTATGTTTTCCTGAATTAGTATGGAAACATAAGATTCCTTGGGACTTTCTGTTAAGGAGGGTTCGTCACCTTTAATGAAGAGGATGAGTTTGTCATTGGTGTGCATGATCCCAATCAAGATCACGCACATTTTGATTCCCACAGAACAATTTACTGGAGAATTTTGTTTACCATCCACAAAAAAAAGGCAGGATAAGCTTAACGATAAGGGTGTGGAATAAGGCTTAGGTAGTCATATGATAAATCACGATTCAGCCTCTGACCAGAGATCTGGGCAGGGTCTTGGGTTGCAATCCCTTTTCATTCTGCATCTCTCAGCCCTGCCAGTCCGTTTCAAAAAAGAGCTGAAGAACGAGGAAGCCACCGAGAGTGGGACAGCCACGCTGCAGTGCGAGCTGAGCCAGGCGGTGGGCTCGGTCGAGTGGAGAAAGGATGGGAAGGTGCTGATGTCAAATGGCAAATACAAAATGAGACAGGAAGGGCGTTTTGTTGAGCTGGTTATCCAAGACCTAGACTTGACGGATGCTGGGAGCTATACCTGCGTGTGCGGAGACCAGGAGACAACAGCTGCCCTGAGAGTCAATGGTAAACATTCTACCTGTTTTGCTCATTAAGCCCCAAACTTAGCGTGTTTGACAGCATTTGGTGATCATCCAAAGCTTGGTCAATGTGATTTCTTGGATATTTTATGTTCTCAGTTCTGTGATGCCAAAGAGTCACCCTATTAGAAAATATTCCCTTGTGTTTTTTTTTTTTGCTTTTTTTTTGCTTTCAGACAGCACAGCTTTGTTGTCTAATTTATTTCTTTTTGCTTTGTCTAATTTATTTCTCTCTACTCTGGGAGGTTTTACCCCTCTTTCAACTGTATCCAATTCACAGTAGCGCATTTTTGGTTAAATGTATACGCTGCAACCCCGTAACTCACAGCAGAGTCCGATTCATTTCGTTCTAGTGCTGATTCCTTCTCTGTTCGTATTGAATCCTTCAGCCTTGCCTATCCTCTTCCAAGAAGAAATGTTGAACAAGGAAGCTACAGAGGGGGAGGCAGTCACTTTGCACTGTAAACTGAGCAAATCGGCCCAGGTCGAGTGGAGAAAGGGGAATATGGTCCTCAAGCCAAGTGAAAAATACAAAATAGAGCAGGAAGGTCCCTTTGCGGAGCTGATGATCCGGGATTTGGATTTGGCAGATGCTGGTGATTACAGCTGTATATGTGGAGATCAACAGACTACGGCTGCTTTGACAGTAAATGGTAAAAAGAAATTCTCAGCACGTGCCCCAAGTAAACTTGTATCATTCCAAACTCTCTTCTTCTTTTTCTCCTGTTTCATCTGGTCCCTGTATACTTTCTATCCTCCCCGCTGCTGATTAATTTTTCTATCCTTTTTTCCTTCTCTCTCTCTCTCCTTTCACCTGATGCCCTCTTGATGTGCCATTTGTCTTCCTAGGTGCTATGTTCAAATGACAAGTGGAGTACAGGTCCCCAACTCAACACAATCTCCCTAGTCCAGTATAGCTGCTTGTTTAAAAGTTTTCCCATAGGGATTGACCTAAAAGTGGGAATAATATTTCCTTTTTGTAACTGAGACTGTTACACTTGTTGTTCCTAAGAGAAACAAGTTTTCATCAATGTATGGTGCTACACAAGGACTATCTTAATGAAAAATTGCTTTTTTTCTTCTCCTGCTATTCCCAGCCCTTTTTTACCAATTTTAGCTCAACTCTTCCAAAGCATATACTTTATCTCTACAGAAAGCTGATAGCATATTTGTAACTGCTCTGTTTTAAGGGGCTCTATTTATAAAAATGCAGACAGCACCATGAATCAGGCATTTCCGTAGAACTGCTGTTTTTCTCAAAGGAAACAAAATGCTTTGGGTCTCATATTGAAATAAGGCCTCTGATTTTACCCCTTCAATTTTATGGTGTGTAAAGTAAAGGACAGATGACTTGTCAACTAAGTTTGCAGATAGATGGACTTGCTTTTAAAGCAAATTTTAAAGTGTGAGGACGAAAAATTAAAAATCAGACTGAAATCTCTTTTGAAATGTTAGAGACTGGAATACAATCCTGGAGTGTGAAGATGGTCTTGTGGCTTCAGTGACATGCAGGTTCAGGGAGATAAGAGAAGGGAATGAGTAGATTGTGGGTCAGGCTTTCTCAGCTTTGATGCCATGTCCGTATTGCATTTACTCTGCAGTCCTGCCTGCTCTTTTCACCAAAGAACTGACAGATGAAGAAGCCACAGAAGGTAAAAGTGTCTCTCTGCACTGTGAGCTGAACAAGGCTGCTGCTAACGTGGAGTGGAAGAAGGGCTTCAAGACCCTCAAATCAAGTGACAAGTATAAAATGAAACGTGAAGGTGTCGTTGCTGAGCTTATCATCCAAAATCTAGATATGACGGATGCTGGAAATTATTCCTGTGTGTGCGGAGACCAGCAGACTATGGCAGTTTTGACAGTACATGGTAAAACAAACAAAACAAGACACATGCTAAAAATAACTATTCTGTTTTCTCCATTCATTTGGACAGATACCTGGTTACCCTACCATCTCCTCCTTCTGCCAGCCCCTTATCCACAGCTCACCGATGCCAGTGAAGTGCTCCCATTGGCATCAGTGTGGCTGGGGTGCATGGCACGAGATGGGTATCATTGTGCAAGCTCAGAGAAACATATAGGCAACCCGGATTGCCACTATGGCTTTAATTAGGGTCCGTCATTTTGCTTTCCCCCTTGAAAGTTCCTTTATTAGACTCCCTGTTATGCTCAAGCCCAATAAAACCTGTTGCCTCGAAGGGACTATGACTTAGTGATTTTAAGGTTTCATAAAATTCCCAAAGGCTAGGTTATTCCTTGGAATCTTATTCCCATACTCCATTCCTGGGACAAGAAGATCCTTTTATACATATGGGCCAGTTGTCATTGCATTCAGTTACTCTCCTGCATAAAGCAAGCCCAAATCTTCTAAGGGATGACCATTCCCAGGGAGAACTTTGATTTTTTTACTGCAATTGATCTGTTTGAAAGGATACGTCAGTTCAGGTGAAAATGCTTGTTTACCCACCACTCATTGAAATGAACAATTTCATTTCAAACTGACATTTAGAATGAAACTCCCGTGTTTCATTTTTTTTAATGGGCAATGTCTTTTCACTTGCTTAAGTATGTGAAAACATAGCAAACATCCTTCCATTATGGTTTAAAAAGTCATGCAGGAAAACCAATTTTTTTCTGAAATTTCAAATTAGTATTTATTCTTTTTGCTTGAAATTTCACAGGAAATAAATTGGGTTTTCTACATCTGTCTGTATTGATTTGTGACTGAGTATGTGTAAAATATCTCTATGGATTGCTGCAAGCATTGAATCCTTTCCTGGTGATGACATTTCTTATACTGATTCATGGACACTATTAAGAATCTATGTTCTTGTATTGATAAATCAGCTCATGATAAGAGGGAAAAGGAAAATTAAATATCCATGTTTAATTTTAACTCTTTGGAGCATTGCATCTCACTGGTCATATTACTGTCCTTCAGCTTTGCCTGCATTTTTCAAAGAAGGATTGAAGAACAGAGAAGCCACAGATGGTGCAACAGCCACTCTGCACTGCGAGCTGAGCAAGGTCGGCGTCCCAGTGGAGTGGAAAAAAGGGGACAAGACACTCAAACAGAGTGATAAGTATAGGATGAGACAAGAAGATACTGCTGCAGAGCTGTTGATCCGAGATCTGGAGGTAGAAGACACAGGAGAATATACCTGTGTGTGTGGAGATCAGAAGACCTCGGCTGTCTTGACAGTCCATGGTAAAAAAGCCATTCTCCGTTATGACAGCAGTATCTCAGGGACCTCCCTTTTCTCCGAGAGGTCTCTTTCCCACTTGCTTTGATGTTTTGATTCTGCAGCATTTTCTTGCTTTGCTGGCTGTGTTTCACCCCATCTCCCACTGTCTGTCAGTTTGAAACTGGTGGGTTTATAGCAACGTAAAGAAGAGTTGTGAGAATTTCTCATCTTAGTCTTCACTTTTCAGAGGTGAAAAAGGCACCTGTATGTAAGGCCAAAAGTGAGCAGCCCTCCAGCAGCAAGCTTGTTCTCAGAGGGTTTGTCCTTGTGACCCACTGACGTCAGTGGATTTCGGTGCTTAACTTGAAGGAATGATCTTTTAAAATGCTGAGGTCAGTTAGTGAGAGATTTTCCCATTCAGGAGCGAATGAATGATTGTCCTTCTCCTTTGTGGCACTGTGATATATCCTGCTGAAGAAACAGTACTTTCCAAAACAATCCCAAACCATTATTCTGTAGGCCCTGATTTAGGGAGTAGTGAGACAGGTTTTGTTCCTGTCTCTGCCATGGCGAATAGCGACAAGCTTTCCTTGCCCCTCCAGCAGAGGCAGTTCATATATAGTTCCAATAGATGAAAGAATAATTTTTATTTGAGATATATCTTAAGGAGATGGTGCTTCTAAGGACAGGGGCAAAACTGTGGAGACAGAACTCTCTTCTCTCAGATTTTCTGCACGCTTTTAGTTCCTCTTCTTTCTCCTAGCTGGAAGTACTTCTGTTCCTCCCCTCCTCTGAGCTGGCACTTTCTTCCCTATGCAGCTCACTACCTTTTTATTTTGGCTGCACACCACAAGGCAACTTGCTAAATGCTGCTAGAAAAAAACTCTGTATTCCTGATATTAGAGCCATTATATCCTTGGGAATTTTTATGGCTTAAAGGTGCACCTGAAGTTATATTACTAATTTTTTTTTCTGAACAAGAAAGGTAAATTGTGGTGTCAGGAAAGGTAGTGATCTCCAGCTAGCAGTGCTGTCATCCAGGGCAATGACTTTCCATCAAAAGTCAGGTCATTAATGTTCACGATAGATGAATTCAGACTGAAATAGGTGGAGAGGACCACTGGAATCAGCTGGGAAATGAGGAGCATGTTGCATAAGTCAACATTAGAGGCAGGTCATGGTGGCAATTATCCCTGTGAGATCCTGCAGTAGTTTTCTAATAGACGCAGTTTTCAAGACTATATGACTTGTTTTCCTGTAATAGTGAAGGACTGGCCTCAGGACCTAGTCTTAATTTCTTCAGGGTCTGGTTAATGGTTTTGATGTATTCTCTGTTTATATTACGTCCCATAGCTTTGCCTGCACTGTTCAAAAAAGAACTTGTCAATATGGAAGCCACGGAAGATGGGACAGCTGTTCTGCAGTGTGAGTTAACTAAACCCACTCCAGTGGAGTGGAGAAAAGGGCAAAAAGTGCTCAAGCCTAGTGAGAAGTACAAAATGAGACTAAAGGATACCATTGCTGAGCTGACAATCCACAGCCTGGAGGAACAAGATGCGGGAGATTACACATGTGTGTGTGGAGACAAGATGACTACTGCGTCTCTGACGGTGCATGGTAAAATACATAAGTTTAATCGGCATTTTCTGCTTTGTCATCTGCGATCTCATGCAGGACCACAAACTGTTCTTGATCCCATCTATTAGTTTAAATTTTGATGACAGCTGTATCAACCACTGGAATATCTTTTACTGAAAGTCCTTTGCTTGGGACTGATACATAGCACCATACAGTCTTTTCAGTCCCTTTTCTTTCATGTTAATGGAATCTGGAAGCAGATAATGAAGACCTAGGTGAAGTCACAAATAGCACTTGCAGTATTTCCATTAATTAATGTCTCTAGGCGTATCACTGAGATTTTACTTGTTTTACTCGAATGGAATTGAAAGATGCTCTGTTATGATAACAGCTGAGAAAGGCAGGTGAGAATGACACCTTGCAGTCTGGAATTTTAGATAACATAGTTTTCACTTTAACTGTTCATCCAATCTTAAGACAGAGCTGTGCATAGTTCCTTGAAAGCTTGGAATTAGCTTTCTGTTGTTATATCTTAAAATGCCTTTAAAGCATACCTTCCAGCACTGAAATTATAGTTTTACAATGCTGATTGATTTCCAGTTCAGCTGTGACATGCTGAATGTGGTGTGTTGCAAAGCATAAGGCAGAGATGCCCTTTAAGTCATCATTTGCCTCTCAGGTACTGTATATTCTAAAACCTGTAGAGATTAAAGGGTTTTAATCCAGTGGAGCAGTTGAGATGCAGTATTTCCTCGATTTTGAAGTTCTCTCTCTTCACCTGTGATCTTCAGCCCTTCCTCCACATTTTAAAAAAGAGTTGAAGAACATGGAAGCCACAGAAAAAGGCACGGCCGCTTTCTGCTGCGAGCTGAACAAACCTGCTGCTGCTGTGGAATGGAGGAAAGGAGACAGAGCCCTGGAGCCAAATGACAAGTTCACCATGAGATGCGAGGGCACAACTGCTGAGCTGGTGATCTGTGACTTAGATCTGGCAGATGCTGGAGATTACACATGCTGTTATGGAGACCAGAAAACCACTGCTGCGCTAAAAGTGAATGGTAAAAAAAAAACCCGCTCCAATTAAGTGGATTATTTTCAACCAGCTCTTTTTTTAAAGAGTATAGTAGTATCAGCTTTGAAATTGCAGCCCTGTTTCTGATGAATTTAGCAATATGTGGTTGGACATGGGCATAAACATGAGAATGCACTGGTCAGTATCAGGCAAAGATCAGATGTTCGTTGCAAAAATTTCAGATATTCTTCGTGGTACTAAGTCATTCCTTTGATGTTCATGTTCAGTAGTAGTTGCTAAAAAAGGAAAATCACATTATTATGATGTTGGTTGTAAAGATGTTACAATCTTAAAGTTGAGAATATTACAATTTGGTGATGAGATATTTTTGATACAGTTTTCAGTGTGTCAGAATAATTTGACAGTCAACTTCTCCTAGACCACTATCTGAGGAGAAATCTCATGGAAAAGTGAGATTGGTGCCTCGGATATAGTTTCATTTATGAACTTTTTTGGTAATGATTTGCGTTGCAGTAGAACTTAGACATTCTAGTTGGGCTTTCTTTTCCACTGTGCCAGGCAATACCCAAAGTGAGGTAGGGCTCAGTCCTGCAGTTTGAAGCTGAGACTGGTGTGGTTCTCCATTTCATGCCATAGACCATACCATAAAAAAAATCTCTGACTCATGAACAAGGTGTTCTCCAGTTTTCCAAAGTCACCATCATATGTTTCCCAGAGTGGTTATCAATCCTATTTGATTAGGGAAGGCTTTGCTTGTCACGTGTGGTTGACAGACCACAGATAAATAGTTACTTGGATAGCTGCCATGGTCATGCATTCTGCTCATTTTGAACTCCTCAGCCTTGCCTGCACACTTCAAGAAAGAGATGAAGAACGAAGAAGCCACAGAAGGTGGAACAGCCATGCTACAATGTGAGCTATCTAGGGCTGCCTCTGTGGAGTGGAAAAAGAAACACAAAGTGCTCAAATCGAGTGAAAAGTATACTATGACACAGGAAGGTACGACAGCACAACTGCTGATCCATGCTTTAGAAGTCAAGGATGCTGGGGAGTATACCTGTGTGTGTGGAGATGAGAAGACTACTGCAGCACTGACAGTGCATGGTAAGGAAACAGAAATGAGAAATTTCTGTGTCATGTGTCTCCTGTCTCCTCTGGAAGCCTCAGTACTGACACACAATGAGTTCTTTCTCTAATCTTGCCATCGTTAATTCTGTCAGTAATGGATCTTTTTTTCTCTAGTGATTTTTATGTAATTCTAACTAGAATTGTAGTTCCATTATTATACTAATATTTTCCCTGTTTTTTTCTCCTTGTTCTCTTTGGGGCACAGCTATACTACTTTGCACCACACCAAAGGCTGAAAGATTCCACGTGCTTGCACTTTTTGTTCTGTTTTACTTACTTTTGACTTGAGCCTAGACAGGTGGAGCAGCAGGAACATTCATACTTCTTAAAAAGAGTAGTCTTGGATTTCAAGTTACATTAGGATTTGACAGATAATTTTAAATAATGAAAACAAAACTTGATTCATTGCAACTTTTTTACATAACTCTGACAAAGGATCATGTAGATTTGTATCCTGGTATTGCAAAATACTCAGCATTATAGTGTAAGACTACTTCACAGTCCTCAAATTAATCTGCAAACTTTCCTTGGAAGAGAAGAAAATTTTATTTCCACTATTAACATAGGACAGTAGGAAGTAGTTTCAGCCATCTTTCTCACCTGGGAAGTCAGTAGGTCAATGAGTCGGTTTCTTTGCTTTACTGCCCAGACCTTTTCATCTTGATACTTACCAATAAAACAAGGATGGTTTCAGTCTTGAACCTCCAATTTAACCATGAGAAATAGAATTGGGAAGGACCTCTAGAGGTCATTTAGTCCATCCTTGAGCCCCAAGTCGCCATCACCCCTGTCTAGCCTCACTCCAGTGATGAAGAATTTGCAGTTCCCCTGGACACTCATTCCACTGCCTAGCCATCATTACTGCCAGAAAGTTCTTCCTAATGCCAACAAAAATCTTTCTGTAGCTGTCTTAAGTCATTACTTCTTGTCCCATATCCTGTAGAAATGGAGAAATATTTATTATTTTCCTCCCTGTAAAACTACTTTACAGATTTGAAAACTTTCATCATGTCTCCCTGGACTAAGCGCCTTCAATCCTTTCACTTTTTCTTCATGTTTTCTAGACTTCAGCTCATCTTTGGTGTTTTCTGGACCATCTTCAGTTAATCCACATCTTTCTAGAAGTGTGGAGGCCCAAAGCAGACTACAGTGTCCCATCTGAGGCTTTGCCAGAGTGGAGTAGGATGGAAGGACTTCATATGTCTTGCATATGGCACTCCATTTTATACATCCCTATTATGATGATTGCTTTATTCACATCAGAGTTGCATTTTTTTACTTGCATTTGCTCCTTGATCTCTGGTAACCCCAAATCTCCCTCTACAGATCTGCTGCCTATTGTTCCCCATCTTGTATTTGTGGTGTTGTTGATTGTTCCTAAATATAGTATTTTGCATCTGCTCTTGCTGAATTGCAGCCTTTTTTTTTTTTTCACCACTGCTTCGTCAAGATCTTCTATATCCTAATCCTGTTTAACAAAGTGCTTACAGCTTCTCTCCCTTCCCAACTTGAGATCATCTGCAAACTTAATGACTACTCTGCATTTCATAGTCCAAGCCACTAAAGAAAATGTTGAATAATATGGGACTCCAGAGTATTGAGGAACTCTGCTCAACTCATTCTTTCATTGTGAGTGTAAATCACAGCTGAATATTCTTAGACTGTGGTGTTCAAATTGGTGGTGCTTCCTACTGTAGTTAAAGTAAGAGCTTTACTAAAATCAAGGTGTACAGCATATACTGTGTGTCTCCCACTGAAATTCATTAACCTATGTCAACAAATATTACGCTGGTCCACTCCTTCACAAAAAGAAAAGCTCTTGGCAAGTCAAAGTGTATTGCTACAATGTGTTTCAAAGAATTAAAGTTAAGCTGAAATGGCCATAGTTCCTTGGATCCTCTGTCTACCTCCCTCTTCTCACCTCTTCTTTTCCAAGACACAAGCACTGTGGATGGGATTCAGCTTGTAGATCAAGACTGGTGAGTGTTCCTAAATTCCTGTTGTTGTCAGTGGAGATCTAACTAACACAGTCGATGGAAGCCAGGGAGACATCCAGTTCACCATATAGCAGCCATTTACATTTGGTCATCAGGTAGCTCCATTGGCTCTGCTGACGTTAGATCTTTCTTGACTGTCCTGGGAGCTTAGACTCTTGGTTTGCATGGTGAGAACCAAGTGTGTGCATTTCAATTTTTTTTTTTTCATTCCACCTCTGAGTTTCTATTTTTTCTATACTTGTGGAACATCACTAATTCTCTTTGATTTCTTCACTGTAACTGTTAATGTCTAATATTGGTTAAGCCTGTACCTTAAGTATTCCAGGACAAATTTCATCACACCAAGGTGCTTTGAGAATATTCAGCTTATTTAAATGTTCTCTAATCTGTTTTTTTGGTTTGTTGGGTTTTTTTTTTTTTTTTTCCCTAGCCAGAATTCCTATTACTTTCTTAGCTATCATTAACTTTTAATATTAAAGAAGAAAAAGGAATTAAACTCTTCATTTCCCCATCTTACTCACCATCAACTTACATTCCTGAAAGTTGGTAGACCAACTTCTCCCTTGTTATTTTTCTTCCTTCTAATCTACCTACAGAATATCATTGTATTATTTCTGCTTCTTTCTAGTTCAGGCTGGCCAGGTTTCCTGGGATTTGCATGCTAATATTCCGATACAGCCAAGAGCCACAAGTTGAACTGTGAGCAGAGGATATGGAAAGTTCCTGGAGTAGTGATCTCACCACCTAGTTGCTGGATACACCTACATACAGCATTCAGCTGTGTCTGGAGATACTTGATATCAACATAATTTTGCAGATTACCTTTCAGTCCCTCTTTCATGTTGGTCTATAAGGTGACAGAGTCCAGGAGTGGGGAACTGACCTTGACCTTCTTGAGACATGCCGGGAAACTATCCTTTCTGGTTTTGCCTCTACATTCTGTATTATTTCTTTTGCACTCATCTAAACCACCCATATTTTATAGGTCTCTAGAGTTTCGGGACATTGAAGAATTCATGATTAAGGCAGGATGTTCCTGATGGTCCTTGGAGTGGGGTAGTCTGTGTAATTATGCCCTTCATATTCTTTCTTCAAGAAGCTCTCCACTCTCTTAAACTATGTTGTCCTTTAAGTTTGCTTCTGCTTGGTCGTGAGTAGCAATTACTGAATTATTGAAGCTCACTTTCTTGTTGCCCACAGAATTTCCTTTTGCTCTTCTCCATCATTACTTGTCCTAAAATCCATAAGCCTCTCCTGCTTCATAATTTGTGTCTGCCCAATTACCCTCCATATCTGTATTCTCAAATATTTATTTCTTGCTGTCAGTCAGGTCTTGGAGATCCTCCTCTTCTGTTCTTCCGTATATGTTCTATATCCCAAAGTGGTCTCCAACCCATTCCAAAAACTTAACAGATGTTGTCCCATCCTACTGCTCCCACAGTAAATATTATAGCATTACCATCCAGTCTTGTGCTCTGAATGATTCTATTAGTTGTTCCAAAAGGGATGAGGTGTTAGGATACACCCGAGCTTCCCAGTGTGAAGGTCTTATAGCAGATTTCCACAACGGAGACATCATCTTTCTTTTTCCTTTTTATTGCTATCCAAACACTTTCAGGAAGACTTTCTGATTCTGCTCTTCAGCCTCATTCTAACTCTCAGCCTAGGTCTGGAGGCAACCTTAACACGTAAGGTAAAGCCTTTTCTTTTTTTTTTTTCATTTAGCTTTTTTTCCTGATCATGGTGTAACCTGTTATATCACTTTTCCTGGGCTGAATTACACTGAGAAAGCTATAGTTTTGACCATACATGAAGTTTTCCCATTCCTGTTGTTTATTCTCCATGCATCTCTAAACCAATCAGCACATTTACACAGTGTGAGACCCTTTTGTTGCTACAATACAAATTAGTATCTTCCTTCTGTGAGATGATCCTCATGTCAATAACTAGGCATAGGTAGACATCGGTTAACATCAAGGTTCATTTTTTTGTGTGACCAAGAACTGCATATCATGAAAACATTTGCTCCTTTGTTTCTCAGCCCTTCCTGCTCTCTTCAAAGAAGAGTTAAGAAATGAGGAAGCCACTGAGGGTGAAGTAGTCACTCTGCGCTGTGAGTTGACCAAGGCCGCTTCAGTGGAGTGGAAAAAAGGACACACAGTACTGAAACCTAGCGAGAAATACAAAATGAGGCAGAAGGATGTCACTGCAGAACTGGTGATCCATAATCTAAAAGAAAGTGATGCTGGTGATTATACCTGTGTGTGTGGGGATAAGCAGTCTACGGCTTCCTTAGCAGTACACGGTAATAACCGATTTCATCTAGATATCCTCATTATCAAGCTTATGGTTTGAATTAACTTTTTCTCCATGTTCCTTGTTGTATCTGCACAGTTCCTCTGAGTGAATTTGCATGTCATAGTCATGAGGATTAATTTGCATTTTGTGATTTAAGGGAAAAACCTTCATCCCATTTCCCAATACAAAGTGGCTTTAGGACCTGATCCCTAAAGTAGATGTGAGATCAGGCCTGAAGACAGCTCCTCACTGTTGTCCTCACCTTTCCTTCTGCCACCCCTGCCCTTCACCAGGAGGCTGTGTTTAATCTCTGTCCATTGCGTCCTCAGCGCTGCCTGCATGCATCAAGGAAAGCCTGAAGGATGAGGAGGTAACAGAAGGTCAAGCAGCCACTCTGCGCTGTGAGCTGACCAAGGTTGCTCAAGTAGAGTGGAGAAAGGGAAGCAGTTTGCTCAAAGTCAGCGACAAATACAAAATGAGACAGGAGGGCACAGTCATGAAGCTGCTTATCCATGACGTAGAATTGAAAGATGCTGGAGAATACACTTGTGTGTGTGGAGAACAGAAGACAACAGCTGCCTTGATAGTGCATGGTAAAAACATATACATATATCTGTATTATTGTGTTTTTCTCTGCCAGCTCATTGCTATTGCTTGTGTGTTCACCTGTGGCTGAATTTGTTGGTTTTTTTTTAAATTTTGTAAACTGTCTCTAAGATCTAGTTGCATCCAGGCTGCTTTTCTGTTTCTGTCTATTGGTTTGTCCAATGTACCAGAATTATGAGGAAAGGAAATCTTTCCACCCTAAAATGTTCTCTGCTTCTGTACCACCCGATCCCTCCCATCACCTGTGTGCCACATGTCATTTTTAATGTCTTCTGTCCGTTTTGTGACCTTCAGCCCTGCCTGCACTTTTCAAAGAAGAACTGAAGGACCTGCAAGCCATGGAAAGCCAAACAGCCACTCTGCACTGTGAGCTGACCAAGGCTGCAGCTGTGTCATGGAAGAAAGGAAACAAAATACTCAGGCCAAGTGAAAAATACATCATGCGGCAGGATTATGCCCTTGCTGAGCTGGAAATTTGTGATCTAGAGCTGCAGGATGCTGGAGATTACACCTGTGTGTGTGGAGACCAACACACCACGGCTTCTCTGACAGTGAATGGTAAATTAATCTTGCGGATGACTGTTCATTTTTTGTTTCTCTGAAACACCCTGTTGCTGTATGAAGTGTTCACCTATCAGCTTTAGGCTTTTCCCTAGGAATTAATTTGCTTTCAGGAAGGGAGAACTTCTTGTTCTGACACTTAATTTTGCTCTGATATTCCTGAAAAGGCAGCTGAGGACATGACCATTTCTCCATGCAGACAAACTGCTATGCTGTAAGTTTAAGGGAATAGTGCCTAGGAAATGTTCCTTTTAGATCAGCTGAGAGGTCCTGCCCCCATGGAGGGTGGCCCTGTGACAAATTCTTTAGGTTGCATCTTGAATCCATCCAGCCTCTTGTACTTTGACCTGTCAGCTCAGCATTTCTTTTCTTACTGTTGCTGCTGGATTTAGTTTTCATCATAGTGATAACCTCAACCTCAATAGCTGAAGTCCCTGACTTTGAACTTTGGTTGAGAATTCATGATGCTGATCGCGAATGCAGAGGTCTTAGTTTAAATACACTGTCTATTGACTTTCCATTCCCAGCCCTGCCATTGCTTTTCAAGGAAGAACTGAAGAATGAAGAAGTCCTAGAAGGAGCATCAGTCTCTCTGCGTTGTGAATTAACCAAAGCAGCTCCAGTACAGTGGAAAATAGGGTCCAAAGTGCTTAAAGCAAGTGACAAATATCAAATGAGACAGCCTGGCACCACTGCAGAGCTGGTCATCCATGACCTAGAAGTAAAGGATGCTGGAGATTACACGTGTGTTTGTGGTGGCCAGAAGACAACAGCAACCTTAACAGTTCATGGTAAAAAGACCTTATTAAAATTAACCAATAGTTCTGTAGACACACATCACTCTGAAATCCAGCTGTTTCTGCCCTGGGTCGGTAGCTTGTCTTTGTTACCCGCCCCCTCCGCCCCCCCCTTTCTCTTCATTCTACGTATAGATCATTTCTTACCAAGAAAGATTAGCTCAGGGCAAATTTTTGGCTCATTATTAATCTGCCCCCTTTAAAAGGAGGAAATGAGATGTTTCTTTCTGTCCATATCCCCTCTTCTTGGACATTTACATTTTCCAGCTCTTTTCCCTGCCTCATCCCCATGGTTCCCTTCAGCCAACCACAGTTTTCTCCAAAACACACGTGTATGGTCTGTCAGGCCCTCTGTTCCCCAAGCACTGTTCAAAGGACAAGTGAGGGCTGGGGGAGCAGAAGGAGGAGGAGATGTTGCTCTGTTGGGTGCCCTGGCCATTGCTACTCCTGGGGGTACCAGATTCTTTAAGCAAGTCAGACACATGGAATGAGTTCAGAGTTACCATTTCAGAGCTTGTTACCTCTAACCTAGCTTTGAAGGATGCAAGGGTCTACACCTCTGTATGTGAGGATCAAGACTACCTTGACAGTTAGGTACTAGAAAAAACCCAACAATACATGTTATCAGCGGTTATACTCTTCTTTATCCTACCGGTTTCTGACAAACCAATCCAGACATAAATCCTTATATTATGTTAACAATCTCATTACCTGACATTCTGCTCTCCTCTCATTAATGAGTAGCTGTTTTAATGGAGTAACAGTCCTTGGCTCTGAGGAACTTACTTGGTCAAAGAGACCCAATTCTGTCCCCTCCAGCTTTTTTGCAAAATCTGCTGACTCCACTCAGGCTTTCCTGAGACATGGACTTTTTCTGAGGCATTCGGGGAGTAGTGTTTGTATCCTGTACCCACTTACAGTAGTTGTGCGCAGGGCACATTTGTGGGTAAATGTAAATAATTAGTTTTCCTGAAGGTTATTTCCTATAGGTTGTTCTTTCTTTGGGTTTTGATTTCCAAAATGGGAAAATGGGAGAACCTGAAATTCTTATTATATGTAATGGCCCTTCAAACTTCAATTTAAAACTAGAAGTAGTTTTATTTTGAAATCTGGCTGATTTCACATAGACAGGGTTATAAGTTTTTAGTAAAAACAAAACAGAAAATAACAATGCCGGCCTCCAAGAAATCACACCTGTGTAGGTAAAATAGTACTGTATCCAGCAGTGTTATTTGTGAGTGCTGTTAACCCAAGATCTGGATCTTTCTGTATTGTTCTTTCACCATGAAAAGCAACAAACACCCAGGGAGCTGATCCCTTAGGGTAAGTGAAACCAAGTCACACTTGAAGAAGGATGCTTTCAGAGCTTCTGAGCTTGTCTGTAGCCAAGCATGTTTATAATAGGCTGAGAAAGGGAGTCATGAGGGGAAATAATCCCAATGAAAAAGAAATTTAGGATTTTAATTCTGGTTTTCTGACGACCATTTGTCCATGTTGCATCCTTCAGCTCTGCCACCACTCTTTAAGGAAGAGCTAAAGAACAAGGAAGCAGAAGAAGGTGGAGAAGTCACCCTGCACTGTGAGCTTACCAAGGCTGCTCCGGTGGAGTGGCGGAAGGACAAGAGGATTCTCAAAGAGAGTGAGAAATACAAAGTGAGGCAGGAAGGGACCAAGGCAGAGCTGGTGATTCATGAAATAGCTGAGGAGGATGCAGGAGGCTACACCTGTGTGTGTGGAGAGCACCAGACTACGGCTGTCTTAACAGTACAGGGTAAAAATATCTTGACCTCCTATTTCCTAACTGGAAAAATCTGTCCTCTACTATCAGGTGTTCAGTTTTCCGTGTTTGTTTGTTCAACCTTATTAACTGAAGTTCCATTAATTTGAAACAGTATTCCCTGCCTTTGATGACCTGCAGGCTGTGTATAGTGGAAAATACCGGTCTGCATTTTTCTGTACCGTCCTTCTGTCTTTCCCTTTCCTTAAACACAAACCTGCTATCCTTTCATCTTTCCCTTCTGGCATTCCTTTCCTAGCATATAAACCCACTATTCTTTTCTCTTTTCCTTTCTTTTCCTGCATTTATTCTCTAAACCACAAATCTGTTTGTTCTTTGCCATTCCTTTCTGGTATTCTCAATACCTACCATAAGACTGTGTTCTGTGCTAAGTTATGTTTGTATTGGGTTTTGTGCCCAGAACCACTGTCCTAAAGCACAAAGATAGGTTTGCGTCAGGAGTCTGATTTTTGTAGGCAGGAAAGAATAAATTCTTTCTGTGACCTCCTTTTGGTCTTATTTGTTGCAAGAACCAACTGGTGTGCAAAGAAAACTGGTGTTTCAGCTTAACACTGCTGGAGATGGGAAATGTGCCAAATCAAGGAGGCTAAACCTGGTTTCTAGCCTGGATAATTTAACTTAGCTTCACCACTATGGAGTGAGTCATTAAGCTTGAGATCTGAGATATCCAGCCTTGTTAAGGAGGTGGAATATCCCATTATCCTACCTAGTTAATAGAGGGACATATGTTAAGGTCACCAAATTTATTTCAAGGAATAAAAGTGGGGGAAATACGTTATGAGACATGAAAACAGTCTGGGATTCAGCATCTGGAGATCTTCTTTGAGGTCAAGAAGAATCTGTGAGCCCTGGCTGCATCTTTTCAAGGGTATCTCAAGGTAGAAGGAATGATGATGAGTAAGGAGCTGTGCCAACACTCAGAGCTCAGCAGGGCTGCTCTGTAAGTAGGAAAAGAGAGTACAAAGGCATGAAGTTTGTGGAAAACACCAACACATGTGTGAACTAAGGAGCTCAGAGGTTATATTCTTAGTTTTTCTTACATGGAAGCTGGTAGAAAGCAGGTGTAAATCTCTTGAGGACAGTGCAATTTTGCTGGCCGGAAGCCAACATAAACTGAAAGGATTAGGGTATATATTCCTACTAGGATGTCTTAATCTCTCTTTCCTTTCTGTTGCTGATGCTCACCCTTCCATAACCTTTACAACTTTCCCCTGTCACTTCCTACTCTCACCCATCCCTGGAGATAGCCTCAGTTTGTAATACTTTTTACCTGCATCCTTCAGCTGTGCCTCCGTTTTTCCAAGAAGAAATGACCAGCAAGGAAGCAGTGGAAGGTGGAATGGCCACTTTGCACTGTGAGCTCAGCAAGGCACCTGCCCGTGTTCAGTGGAAGAAGGGCCGTCACGTTCTCACCCCGGACAACAAATACAGCATGAGACAGGAAGGCTGTGTTGTGGAGCTGGTAGTTCACAATTTAGACCTGAATGATACTGGAGATTACACCTGTGTGTGTGGAGATCAGACCACCACAGCTGCCTTAACAGTGCATGGTAAAGTAATCCTTGGGACTAAGGTCCTGCAGACCTTAGACCTGCCCAAGTCTCTATTTCTATGGTCTCTTCCCATTCCCTTTCTGTTTGCTTGGGCTTTTGTCTTCCTTCAGACTTTGCTTATGTGCTTCCTCCTTCTGTTAGAATAGAGAGAGTTGCCTGTTGGTTTTTGTCCTCCTCAGCTGTGCTCGCCCTTCTACTTTCCTTGCCCTGATGCAGAGTCCAGGGAAGGCAGGGGAGATTTTTCCCCTATGTTCCACTGACCTGGATCAGGGCTCAGTAGTGTACCATGCATCCTCTCTCCCAGGATCTCATCTAGCTACTTTTTTAGGAATATTCAGTCTCTCTGTGGTAATTCTTTTACTCTTCAGCACTGCCTCCACGATTCAAAAAAGACCTGAAGGACCTAGAAGCTATAGAAAGTGGGACAGCTGCTCTGCACTGTGAGCTAACTAAACCTGCTGTGGTGGAGTGGAAGAAGGGGCAAGAGGTGCTCAAAGCAAGCAGCAAATATAAAATGAGTCAAGATGGTGCTGTTGCAAAGCTGATTATCCATGAGCTGGATGTGGAGGACACTGGAGATTACACCTGTGTGTGTGGAGATCAGCAGACAACCGCCACTTTGACAGTCAATGGTAAAAAAAGAAAAGAAAAAAATATAAAAAGAGAAAAAAAGAAAAGGGAAAACATTATAATATATTCTGAAAAGGAGAGCTGTATGGTAGTGTCACTTATGGAGAAGACTTGGCTACGATTCATAAGGCAGGTGTGCAGAACAGCATGGCCTATACAGCCTAGTAGAGTGACCAGGTAGCAAATGGAAATTGCAATGCAGAACTAAATGCATTTTGTCAGTATGCTACTGTCAGGATAATGGTAATCTCTCCTGCACGTGGCCTGCCTTAAGGGGGAATCTGAACTCTTACAAATCCCTGCTGCTCTTCAGAATATCTCCTCCATGATCAGGGCAACCTGTTGGCTACTTTTATAGTAGGAAAAATATTCTGCCATTTTTAGGTCATAGATTAGACTAAGCTTGTATATACTTCATGGAAAAATTCTTCAAATTGATTTCTTCCTGTTCTGCAGATATTCCTATTTCCTTTCTAGGGAAATAGCCTTGTACTTTGGATCTAGACCACTGAGGTTTAGAGACATCTGCAGAAAAGCTCTTTTGGTGCTTTCATTTTCTTTCTACTTTCTCTTTGCCAAACCCCAACTGCAGTATGTTGCAAGTTATATTTCTATTTTATAGCCCTACCAGCACTTTTTAAACAAGAGCTTCAGAATACCGAGGCAGAAGAAGGTGGCACAGCAACACTGAGGTGTGAGCTTACCAAACCCAGTGCTCCAGTAGAGTGGAGGAAAGGAGACACTACTCTCTACCCTGGTTTGAAATATGAGATGAAGCAGCAGGGCTCCACTGCTGAGTTGGTCATTTATGACTTAGAACTGAATGATTCAGGAAAGTACACCTGCGACTCTGGCCATCAGCAGACAACGGCTGTGGTAACCGTGCATGGTAGGCGGAGCATTGACCCTTGGCTCAACAGAGATGAAGTGAAAGGAGCATTGGCGTTCCCTATGGATATTTATTTGTTTTGCTGCTGAGCCATGCCAGCATACCTATTGTACTTGAGCATGACACATGGTCAAGTTAGAGACGTTCTGCTTGCAGTATCTGGAGTGATTAATCAGCATCAATACAATTAAATGTTGTCATGATGTCAAAATATGATGAACCCTCCTGCGCTCTGAGTGTAGGGAGTGTGGCTGCATGTGGGAATGGATAACAGAAAATAAACTGGGCAGGCTGATGGTTATTTTGGGTTGTTGATTGCTTCAGTAGGCAAAAGGGATGCCTAATTGGGCATAATGCCCAATTGGGATAATAAGACATGCAACAATTGGGCGATAAAGGATTTCTATAACATGTTGTCGTGGTTCAGCCCCAGCCAGCAGCTCAGCACCACGCAGCCGCTCGCTCACTGCCCCTGCCCCGATGGGATGGGGGAGAGAATCGGAGGAATGAGAGTGAGAAACACTCCTGGGGTGAGATAAGAACAGTTTAATAATTGAAATAAAGTAAAATAGTAATGCTAATAATAACAATATAATAATGATAATAACAATAATAATACACAAAGCAAGTGATGCCCAATGCAATTGCTCACCACCCGTCAACCGATACCCAGACAGCTCCCAAGCAGCGATCGCTGCCCCCCAGCCAACCCCCCCAGTTTCTATACTGCCCATGACGCCATATGGTATGGAATAGCCCTTTGGGCCAGTTTGGATCAACTGTTCTGGCTGTGCCCCCTCCCAGTTCCTTGTGCACCTGGCAGAGCATGGGAAGCTGAAAAGTCCTTTACTGGCATAAGCAGTACTCAGCAACAACTAAACCATCAGCGTGTTATCAGCATTCTTCTCCTACTAAATCCAAAACACAGCACTATGCCTGCTGCTAGGAAGAAAATTAACTCTATCCCAGCTGAAACCAAGACATATGTGAATGTGCTGTATTATTATTTGAGGCTTTGAGCCTCAAGTATAAACTTTGAGTGCAAACAACTGCATCCACATCTGTTTTTCTCCGCCCCTTTTACCATCCAGAGCAAGACCTTGCCTGAAATCTGAATTTCCTCTTCCATTTATCACTCTGTTGTCATCTTTACCATACTACCTCTTCTTGTGTTTTGAATGCTAACTTGATCTTTGATATGTTGATAGAAGCTTTATTTGGGGGGAAAATACTCTTCGCTTAATACTGCAAACTCGCAGACCATTATTAAGGAACAAAGGTCCATATAAAAGAGAGCGTGTCCCAGTGATCTCTGACTAAAGCATCCCTAGCTGGCAGGGATACCCTTCTGTAGGAAAGTCTGACTCCTTCAGATCACAAACCAGGCCATTCTGTGGACCGCTCTCTAAGATGAGATCTTTCCTAACTTCACCATCTGTCCTTGGCTTTTGGTTCACGTAATGGTTCAAGAAAGTTTCTACCAAGACAGAGCACTGCAGCCCAATGCTTGTGGAATCATTAGAATAGGCCATTTCTGAAGAATGATGGTAGGATTGGGTCCTTTCCAGACTAAAACACTCTTAAAACGTTTCCTTCTTGAATTTTGCAGCACTGCCTGTCACATTTAAGAAACCACTTCAAAATAAGGAATCAGAGGAAGGAAGTACAGCTACATTGTGCTGTGAGCTGTCGAAACCCAATGCTGCAGTGGAATGGAGGAAAGGAGGAGTGGGGCTGCAGCCCAGCCAGAAATATGAAATGAGGCAGAGGGAATGCCGGGTAGAGCTCTTAATACATAATCTCAAATTAGAAGATACAGGAGAATACAGCTGTGATACTGGGGATCAAGAAACCAAGGCATCTTTAAATGTGAAAGGTAGGTGGTGCAAGATGACTCCTAAAGCAATAGATTTCATCCATCTAACATGCAAAGCAACACTTTGAATATGAATATTTTAAAGTACATGATTTCTTGCCCTAGAAATATTTTCCTTTTCATCTGATATACTAGGATTTATCCTTTTTCAATGAGAATGGAAGAAGATGGTACTTTGTTCTTCCAGTGCTGCATTTGAGTTTTGGGTTCTAAGAAGAAATACTTTCTAGCTTTATGGCTGGGGAGAAATTAAAGAAAAAGCAACGCTTTTAACATAACAGCTGGACTTTTCACATGACATATGGTTCAAGTATTTAAAAAAAGATTTTCTTCCAAATCCTGGAAGAAGACTGACAATGACCTTCCAGATCTGTCAAAGCTGTCTATGGAGTTTTGAACTCCTTTACTCTTGACATCTTTTCTAAATCAACTGAAGGATAAATTCATTCAAATAATTCAACCCTGGGCAAGATTTGAGTCAAGGAACAAAGGAAATAAATGTTGTAAGTGTTGATGGCTGCTTCTGATGCAGCAAAATCTAGTAGCTCCAGGCAAGTTGGAAAACATGGATCCTGCCTAGGAATATAGCACTTGCAAAGCACAGTATCTTGTTCCCCGAAGTGTCCATCTAACTGTGTTAACCAGGACTTGACTCAGGCTTCAATAAAAGCTCCTGTTGCTTCTTTTTTTTTTTTTTTCTTTAGCTCTGCCAGTTCTTTTCAAAAAGGAGCTCAAGGACAAGGAGGTGGAAGAAGGAGCTGCAGTGAAATTCCAGTGTGAGCTGACAAAGGATGATGCAACAGTGGAGTGGAGGAAAGGCACCATGGAGCTCTTCCCATGCGCCAAATATGAAATTAAATTAAGTGGTCGCACAGCTGAACTTGTGATTCATAACGTAGAACCAGAAGATGCCTCTGATTATACATGTGACACAGGAGACAAACAGAGCACAGCAGTCCTCAGAGTGAATGGTTAGCATTGATTGTTCTATCAAAATGGAACAGATGATAAAAGAGATTTGTAAAATTGTGTGAATAGTATTCTTTTATTCATTCGTGAATAAGAGACACCAAAATTTAAGATAAAGAGGAAAGCAGGTGCCCAGTCATAAACCAGAATACAGAAAAGTGGGTCTTATGGGACAGGATTTGTAGAATGGCTATGTAAGCCTGTAAAGCACGGTGTACAGTGTATTGACCCCTTCTCTGATATGATAAAAGCAAGAAACTCTGCATCATGGGGATTTTGAAATCCTAATAGATCTTTATTTTTTGCACTTCGCATTCGTTGCTGGTTCAGTTAAATCAATAAGTAATCATAAGTCATTTACAAAAGCATTTTTTAAAAAATTTACTCTTTTCAGTTTTTGTAATGCCCTTCCACAAAGATCTGGAGAACACTGTGTTTAAACAAACCAGGAATAATAACATCTGTGATTAATCACTGTCTGAAATGTTAATGGTCATCTCAAACTGTTTGGTGCAACTTGTGGCTTTGATCTAAGCCACTACCATTCAGCCTATGTCCTCTTGGCTGAACCTGACCCACGAAGCAGCCACTGGGTCAACTATGAGGGAGAGAGCCCTGTGCTTGCTTTTCATGTATCACAACAGGGTTTAGACAGAGGGACCGCAAGCACTAAGATTCCTGTTTTTACAACTGCTCATGCACACACACACTGGATGTTCCCTTCTCATTTTCATCAGTGACAAGCTGTTGTCTGAGTTGTTCCATGCCCTGCTTGAATAAATGTAGTCCATTTGTTTGTGCATCATCTGAAAGGACTCACTGTTGACAGTCTAGGGTCTTGAAAAGATAGTAGAAAAATAAGAGATGTGTTTAAAGATTTACATCCTTTATGGTGTTGGAAGTCATGAGTATTTCTATAAAAATGAACAGATTTACACTAGTTTTAATCAGAAAGTACCAGGTTTTGCTTAGCCAAAATCTTTATGCATGTGGGAGTTTCCGATATCCAGAGCAGATGTGTAAAATGTGTAATGTGGATGCCCTTGACTTTTGGGGAAAGAAACATATTTGGGGAACTTTCTGATCCTCTCCTTGTCCAGATATACAGACTATAGGTTCATTTATAGAGAAAAAAGGGTTGTTATTACAATATAACCACTTAATGCAAATTTGTTCTGCAGCATCAGACCCCAGGTGCCTTGTGCTGAGTTGTCCAGACCTAGCATTCAAGCTAATGAATTGTGTGTTAATCGTTTTTCACTTTGCAGCCATCAAACCCCAGCTGAAGCAGCAGCTGAAGAATGAAGAAGTGGAAGTGGGAGGAACGGCCAGGCTGCGCTGTGAGATTTCCATTAGCAAAGCAGAAGTGGAGTGGAGGAAAGATGGAGCTGTCCTTCACTCAAGCTCCAAGTACGAAATGTGGCAGGACGGCACCCTCCGCGAGCTGCGTGTTCACAGCCTGGAGCCTAGCGATGCTGGAGAGTATTCCTGCAAGGCTGGAGATGAGACCAGCTCTGCAAAACTGACTGTGAAAGGCAAGACGCATTTATTGGGGGAAGGGGATTGTCACTTTAGTAAGCTAAGATTTTGCAACACAATTGTTACTATTGTGATAAACAATTGTTACAAACTATTGTGATAAACACAGAGCATAGGAAAGGTATAAAAAATCTTGTGCTCAATGAATACACTGAAGAAACGCTTCACTTGGTGGACAGGAGAGGGTAAGGCAGCTGTAGCTTTTGACTCGTGGCTTGAAAATTTGCTTGACACCATATGCATGCGAGTGAACAGATGGTTCATCCCCAGCTTCCAGTCACATGGCAGCTGCATCTGGCCTTAATGTCATTACAGACGGAGCTTGCTTTCAGGTTAGACCACTAGTGTGGAACAATCACCGCTAGCATCTCTACAGGCTACTTGATATTATAGGTACTCGGTACATTATGGCCAGCTGCATCATTTTTGTGCAGATGGCGACCTCAGTTGTATGAATATAAACTGTGTTTGCTCAGATGAAGATTGCGCTGCTTCTCCTTTGGCATTCCCCAGCAGATTCAGGGGTCATGCAGCTTTTGCCTGTTGCAGGCTGTCTGTATGATCTTTGCACAGATCTGCAGGTGCTCAGCTGTCCCAGAAGCAGGACTCAAGCAAACTGAAGCGCAAATGCTAATCCAGTAAGCCCTGCTGAGAGTGCAGAGCCAACCAGATCCCCAGCCAGTTTGGAGTGCCAGAATGGAGTATATGCAATACTGTTTGCAAAAAGACAGTAGAGGGGAACAGATTTTCATGTTATTCATGATATCTAAGTGTAAATATAACAAATATTAAACCCCTGATTTTAGCATCTAGCATTCACACCTCATTCACCCAATTACGGTATCAAACACTTAATTAAAAAATCAGTATGCAATGTATCTTTGAGAAAGGGCAAGCAATAAAACCACTAACTGAAAGATTTCGGCCATGTTACCAAGTACGCTGAAAGTAGTGAAACAGCAGAGTCTGAAATATGTGATTTGAGAGGCTGTGGTATCTCCATCCTTGGAGGTACTTAAAGCTCAGCTGGACAAGGTGTTGAGCAACCTGCTGTAAGCTGGCCCTGCTTTGAGCAGTGGCTGGACGAGATGACCTCCAGAAGTCCCTTCCAACCTATATTATTTGATGATTCTATGATTTGATCCATGTTTTCCCTTTCATGGCTTGACTACTGATGGACTGTTTGCAGAGCCTGACGTGACCATCGTGAGTGGCCTAAAGGACACGGTTGTGTTTGAAGGGGACGATGTCACGTTTCGGTGCCAGGTTTCTCATGAGAATGCAAGGGACGTTGAATGGAAGCTACAGGATGTTGCTCTGCAGAATAACGAAATGAATGAGATCTCAGTGGAAAAAGGAAAGATTCACACCCTGACTTTAAGGAAGGTGACTGAGCAGGACATTGGCACCATCACTTTCCGAGTGGGGCCGCACACATCGACAGCAGAGCTCACAGTAAAAGGTAAGGGCTCTCTGTGATGTGGGAAAGCAACAGGATTGGTGACAACACGTAACATCTTGCTTATGTTAATAGTAAATTCAAGGCCATCATCCACCCCTTGTTAGCTCGTGTTAGTAGGGTACTTTGTGCTCCAGAGCATACATGACGTACTACTGTGGCCTCATATACTGTCGTCAGTGACAGAGGAGCGGCTGAGGGAGCTGGGGGTGTTCAGCCTGGAGAAGAGGAGGCTGAGGGGAGACCTTATCACTCTCTACAACTACCTGAAAGGAGGGGACGGGGGGGGCGGGGGGGGGACGGGTCTCTTCTCTCAAGGAACCAGTGATAGGACGAGAGGAAATGGTCTCAAGCTGCGCCAGGGGAGGTTTAGATTGGATATTGGGAGAAATTTCTTTATTGAAAGAGTGGCCAAACATTGGAACAGGCTGCCCAGAGAGGTGGTGGAGTTCCCATCCCTGGAAGGGTTCAAAAAATGGGCAGAGGTGGCACTTTGGGACATGGTTTAGTGGGCATGGGGGTGTTGGGTTGGTGGTTGGACTGATGATCTTAGAGGTCGTTTCCAACCTTAATGATTCCCGGTTTTTACTTTCATTAAAAAATGATCCAGCCACCAAGCCAGGAAACATGAAATTATTACTCTCCCCTTAATTGGTTTAGTGGTGGACTTGGCAGTGTTGGGTTAATGGTTGGACTGGATGGTCTTAAAGGTCTTTGCCAACCTAAACGATTCTATGATTCTATGATCACTATGGATAGAAAGTGGAAATATCTCCAGGGTCCCAAAGCTAACTGGTTTCTAGAGAAATTACTGGGGTATCTCCAGTAGGTGGATTGATAGACCTATAATTTTGATTGCTTCCACTCTCCTTTTTCTTTTTCTTCTTTGGAGTCCTTCTTTCTCTAAACACTGTTTTGAAGAAATTCTCAAACATCCTTCTGCTTCCCTCTTAGAAACTGTTGGTCTGGTGAAAGTCCACATCCCATCTGAACCAGTTAAAATATCTGTAAAGTTTTTGATTAGCACTTCAGTAACTTCAACAAATATTCATGACTGGGTTTCATCCAAAATCCATTTACTTGTTTTAAACCCCCCAATATATAACACAGAAATTAAAGTATTTTTGTGATACTTAACGGTTCAGCTGTAGCTTTAACGCTGTAGGGGAACAAGATAAAGGTGACTGTAAATGCCTTTGCTGTGTTTTTAATTTCAGTGCCACCTCCAGTCTTTAAGGAGAAATTACAGAGCACAGAATTGCAGGAAGAAGAAACAGCCATCCTCTGCTGCGAGGTCTCCCAGCCTAATGTTGCGGTGGAGTGGAAGAAGGGTGCCCAGGTGATTTCCCCAAGCTCTAAGTATGAAATCAGGCAGGAAGGAACAATCCATACCTTAAAGATTTACCATTTAAAACGAGAAGACTCTGGCAAATACACCTGTGATAATGGAAACGAACAAACGACAGCCACTTTAACTGTTAAAGGTAGGTTGTTTGGGTTTTTTTTAAGATGAGAAACTTGTTCCACTTCCTTAGCTAAGTACTAGTGAGAGGGTGTTATCTACTGTCCTTGACTTCAGATGTACTTAGCTGGCATAAAGCAGCTGAGCCCTTTTGTTTTCAGAAGTTAAGTCCTGTGATGTCTTGAGAAATGAACATGGAAGGACCCAAGCATGGTAACTGCTTCCCCAATCCTAGACCCAGGGACGTCTTTCTGGTCATTCAGAAAAACAAGGCTGGAACTAAAATTAAAATGAGACTATTCTGATTCTTAACCACCTCAGTCCTTTGAGCTGTAGTCCCACCTGGGCAAATGGTGCTCAAGAGTCAGTGCCAAAAATTACCTGGGCGCTCAACTCAAGCTGAAGAGCAAGGCAAATACTTCTAGTACCTAGGCTCTTAAAAATAGGTGCAATGTGCCAATATGTCCATTTTTTAAAATCCACTCTGATACTGGTACAAATACAACATTAATATGACTTTTTCTGAGATACAAGATCAACTAAAATAAAGAGGAGCCAGGAGGTTCTTGTGAAATGCTGTCTTTTGAAATATCCCTTGAGGGCTCTCCCATGAAGGGCACACACCTGCCTGCTATCACACTAACTTCAGGATCCAATGATACCAGAATTTTTGTACTGTAAGCAGATCCTCTGCTGGTGGCTGTCCATTTGTGTCCATGTGTGGCCCCAGCCACTCCAGCACTCTTTGAAAAAAACCTCCAAAACCAGGAAGCCAAGGAAGGCTCTACTGTCACCCTTCCTGCTGAGCTCTCCAAACACAATTCACCAGTGAGGTGGAAAAAAGGGTCAGTCCTGCTCCAAGCCAGCAACAAATATGAGATGAAGCAGATGGGGTTCTGCTGTGGAGCTATTCATCAATGATCTACAGCTGAAGGATGCTGGAGACTTCACCTGCAATTCTGGCGATGAGCAAACTATGGCATCCTTGGTAGTGAAAGGTGACAAAAAGCTTTCACTTCACCTTCTAGGGAGCTCTAGGTTAGTTTAGATATTCCATATGTAAGATTCAGGGACACTGTTGCAGTAAGTCTGGTCCTTTTTTGTGATGAGGATTTCTGAATCAACAGTGGTGCAGTCTAATAGACTAGGTCTTCACAAAGACATAATTTCTCTCTCCTACTTATTCCTTTGCTGGCTCCTAAGAGCCCTAGGGCTGCAGGACTTGGCTGCGCAATGGGATGCCTTCACTGTAAATGCAACTGTACAAAAGCCTTGACCCCAGCCATTGTCCAGATGTCCCACAAATATACCATCCATTCCTACATCATCTGCAAGCACCTTCAGATCCCTCTTCTCTTACACACATCTGCCACCCAGTTCCTGTGCATTCACTCTGATTTCTAGAGCCCCATCTCCTTCCCTTGTAGATACAAATTCAGATGTAACTGTGGAGCTACCAAGGTTCTTCTAGGGACCTGGACTTGAGGAACTAAACTTCTACATGTGGTGCGTTGTAAATTAACCCATCAAAATTCCATCTTGACCCATCAGTGACAAACATCAGTGCAGAGACTTCCACAGTTCATCTCTCTTCTGGGTCTGGTTTGCAAATGAGGGGCACTATATAATGATGTTTCTCCATGCAGCTTTCCAAATGCCTAAGAACTTAGATATCAGGCAGGGTCTGGCGACTCTTGAGGGGTGCAGAGTGATTAGTGCTCCTGGAAATCCAGCACTTTCTGTCATTCCTTGTTTGGATTTTAAAGTAATTCTGGAATTGAGTTTGAACCAACTTTGATATTGCACCACAGTTTCAATAAACACAAGACTTAGTGACACAGTCAGCAATGAAACATAATTTTTTTCCTCTGATTTATCTCTGTTTAGCTTTGCCAGTAACCTTCACACAGCCACTCCAGAATCAGCAAGCCGAAGAAGGTGACACCATCACTTTGAGCTGTGAAATCTCAAAACCAAATGCCTCTGTGCAGTGGAAAAAGGCCGGGACAGTGCTGCGACCAAGTGACAAATACAAGATGCACCAAGCTGGGTCCGTGGCTGAGCTGATGATTCACAACCTGAGTGAAGCTGATGCTGGGGAATACATGTGCGACACAGGGGACCAGCAAACCACCGCAGCTGTGCTCGTGAAAGGTGGGGCTTTGCGTGGGGAAGAGCTGAACGGAGCTTGGTACCTGTGGCAGGGGCACATGATTAAGTAATTTGACAGCTAGACATTGTCCTGTGCCCAAACCAAATCATGGAGATCTAGGAGACGAGAGTGATTTCAGAGGGATAAGAACTGGGTCAGTTATCTTTAGGGAATCAGAAATGGGTCTTTAGTCAATGATTCTGTGGTTTAATGTTAACATCACCCACTAAAATCTGTTGACAATGCTTTCACAATACATAGATTGCATTATAAATACATATTATTTACTATATGCACAATACAGTATAACATGTATACTTTATAGACTGTCATCTATATGTGCATAATATATATGCACACATACATACATAATGCATCTGTAAGAATGTAACATGTTACTACATGCCCGTGCAACTACATTTCCATGCATTTAGTGCTTTGTGGTCATTCTTTCAAATAATATATTACTGTCAAGAAAGAGCATAACAGAATGTTTAATCCAGGAAGCATCACTTGAAAGTAAATATCAAACCCTGTTGACCTTTCCATAAAGAACCAGTAGCAACCATAGTGGAGACGCTGAAGGACATCACTTTGTATGAAGGAGAAGACGCAGTGTTTGAATGCAGGCTGTCCCGGGAAACAACTCAGGATGCCCAGTGGTTCCTGGGGGATGTTCCCCTGCAATCCAATGAAATGAATGAGATCAGAGTCCAAGGGACACGTCACACTTTGATCCTGAGGAAGGTGACACTAGAAGACTGTGCGCCCATCAGTTTCAAAGTCGGGCAGCATACCTCAGCAGCACAGCTAACGGTCCAAGGTGAGCAACCTCCTAGGAAGGGAGATTTAGAAGGCACTGGTAAGCACTGTCAATATTGCTTTATCTTCTGGAGAGGTTTATTTGGGACGAGGGATCTCTGGAAATCTTGGGAAATTTGGCTAACATAATTTAGGCATTTAAGAGGTAGATATGTACATCTGAGCTAGTCATTTCAGTCCTTTTTTGTAGTCCATGGAGTGAAGCAGACATCCTTGGAAGACCATCCAACTTATCCTGAAACAAGCAGCTAAGATATGTCAGAAGCAATGCTGAAGAATGTCAGGAATATGCTCTGAATTAATCTCCTACTTATGATGGGTTCAGGTCATATTTACTCCAAAAAAAGGTCCAAAAACTGTGAAAAAACCTTCCATTAAGTTCTACAGAATGATTCTGAAAGATGAGCCATGTCAATACCTTATCTTGTTTGTTCCTTTTTGATCTGGTTCACAACGTAACTGTAGGCACCCAGTTCTGATCTGGGGGCAATGCTGCATTAGGCGCTTGCAGCAGTGTTGGTACCCTCTTCTCCACAGTTGCTCCGGTCACCTTCGTAAAGGCTCTCCACAGCTTGGAGCTGCAGGAGGGTGGCACAGCTCACTTGTCCTGTGAGGTGTCCAAGCCTGATGTCCCAGTGGAATGGAAGAAAGGCACCTCTGTGATCCGCTCCAGCCAGAAGTGCAGCATCAAGCAGGAGGGGAACGTGCACACCCTGGTCATTCACGATTTGAACCGGGCAGACTCAGGGCAGTATAGCTGCCACACAGCTGATGGGAAGACCACTGCCAGACTAGAGGTTAAAGGTATGATTTCCCCTTTGCTCAGCAGTGGTGAGAGGTGTGCACGTCAATTTTTGGAGCTCTCCTAGTAGAAAACAGACATTGAGGTAGTGGAGCAAGTGCAGCAGAGGCCACCAAGTTTATCAGGGTGGCTGGAGCACATGAAGTATAAGGAGAGGCACGGGCAGCTGGGTTTGTTCAGCCTGGGGAAGAGGAGGTTGAGGGGGCACCTCGTTGCTGTCTGCAGCTTCCTAGTGGGGGCCTACGGAGGAGAGACATTCCTTGGGGTGCTCAGTAAACAGATGAGAGGCAACAAGTGCAAGCTGCAGCAAGAGAAGTTCAGCTTAGGAAAAAACCCAACTTTTCACAATGAAGGGGTGGTCAGGCACTGGAACTGGGACCCAGAGGGGTGGAGGACCTCCAGAGGTCCCTTCAGCCTTAATTATTCTGTAATTGATCCCTGGCTGCATGATCTGAAGCCTCAGGTCTGCAGACAAATATTCTCTGAGTGATTTTATCCTGTTCTGTGGTTTTATATTGGGGATGAAAAACCGTCTGGGCTTCAGAACATAGTACTGAAGTTAGCTGGGAATTCTTTGTGAGAAGAAGTCTCGGATATGAGGAGAGAAATGCAGCTGCTGTAAACTGAAATTTTTCCTGCTCTTTAATTCCTCTCCCTCCTCCTCCTCTTCTGACTGGCTTAGACCTAGGCATCCCTGCCCCTGGCAGCTCTCCTTAGGTAAATGCAGCCAGACCTGTGCATGAACTTCATGCATTATCAGTACCTTAAAAATAAAACATTCCTCCTTTACCCCCCCCCCCCCCCCCCCCTCTCTCCACCTCTCTCTCCATCTCTCTCCACCATCTCTGCCCCCTTTCAAGCCCTGCCCGTGCTTTTCAAACACTGGCTGAAAAACGAGGAGGTGGAGGAAGGGTGCACAGCCATGCTGCACTGCGAGCTGACGAAACCCAGCGCACCCGTGGAGTGGAGGAAAGGGGATACGGTGCTGCAGCCAAGTGACAAGTACGAGATCCGGCAAGAAGGGACACGTGTTGAGCTCTTCATCTATGATGCTGAGGCTCAGGATGCTGGTGATTACACGTGTGACTCGGGGGATCAGCAGACCACTGCATCATTGCAAGTCAAAGGTAGGAGAAGCCTTGCTTGAACCAGAGAAGTTATGGCTGTGGCTGCCCTCCATAGGGGTGGTATGGAAGTTTTATCACTGAATTATCATTAATGCTCTGTATCTGTGAATTACAACTGCAGGAAAGGGTTTGATCTGCAATCTGTTCTTCAAAGAAGAATTTAGTGCCTTTTAAACCCAATTATATTTCTGTAGTTGCAATTTTGATCTCACTGTGAGAACTGGGAGCAAAACTGCAGCTGCTGCTAATGAAGGGTATGTACAAAAGCAGTTAGAAAACTTACCTGGTAAGAGGCTGGAGTATTTCACCGTACCTAGAACAGGCCCATTTTAAATTCAGCCATTTTAAATTAAATTTAATAACCTGTTTGTGCCTGAGCAGCCCCAGAATTATGGCTTCTTGCCTTTTTCTAGTGGCCACGTGGCTAAGTTTTTTGATTTTATAGTTTTATTCATTTTATACTGAGTGCTGTGTCTTTTGACTTGAGCAACAAGATCATGTTTTTAGATCCCGAGCTGAGCCACCATAACCAGCTCCTGCTCAGAGTGTGTGCTTTCAGCGATTAAATGTCCAAAACCTGTGATTGGTACTGTTGTGCCTTGAACTGCTTACACTGAAAATTGTGGGTATGCCCACATGAGCCCCTTAGAGGTCCTGTGACCTATGGCAATCCTTTATGGAGCAGCAGTGGACACCCTGGTGGTATCAGCAGCTGATGCCCATGGGTGTCTGGCTGTCGTGG